CCTAAACTCAATATTTTTATACAAATAAGCGCGGGTGAAATATTATATTTGATTAGAATTAGAAGCAGGAAGCTCCGAGCAAGAAGAGATGTAAGGGCAAATGTGAAATTTTAGCGTTTAGTACACCTCGAACTTACAAAAATCTATACGTACATATGTATGTCTATGTACTTTTGTTAACAGACGTATTTATGTTCATACATATGTACATAGATATTTGAATATATCAGAACAATAACAAAATTTCTAAACAAAATATCAGAAAATTCCCGCTAAAAGCCAGAGGGCATCACGGCGAGCCAGCCAATACAAATAACACACATACGTGTAGTATGTATATATATACAGACTTCGTGTGTATTCATTCATTCAATCTAAATTCAATGCTTCGGCATTTAGATATTTCTAAAACTATTTTTTATAGCAGGTTTTGCTATTATGTATGTACATAGTACGTATGCATTTTTTTGTATTACTTGGGGTGTTTTTTTTTCTTTTTTGTTTGCAAATCTCTGCAAATATTCGCGACAGTTTGCGCTCGCATTTATTTATTAATACTTTTTGCCATGTTATTCATTTCTGGTTTAGCTTTTTAGTCTCTTGCCGGCTTAGTTGTTATAGAAAAATTCATATGTGCTTATGTATGTATGAAGTTTTTTGTCACGATCCGTCAAGGATTCGAGCAAACGGTTGTATGTAACTAAATGTTTTGTGTAACACTGACCTTGAAAAATTTTTAGAAAAAAAAAACAAAGCAATGAGTTAGCGAAAATAGAAATATTTTACATACATACGGTTGTAAGGTTGTATGTATAGGAAAAATTGTTAAGAAACTACCCAGGAATATTTTGAATCTAAAATAGGAAGACATTTTAATACATTTCTTAACTGAAAGCCAATTAATAGGAACCATAGGTTAATATATGGAGTCTTATGAATATTCAAGGAGATTTTTCAATGCATTTTTCTCCTTTAAGTGTTCATAAAATATCTTGAATACTTTAAAATTTAAAATGATTAAGTTTCCGTTAGTGGAGAGGTGGCTCTATACAGCCACTACGCTATTATGCACCTGAAGCATTATTTAGTGTTCTGTATATCTGCGATGTTCTCTCGGCACAAATGCCAATATTTACCCGTGTATCTCTGACATGAGATCTATAAAAATTACAAATAAATAGCAGACTGGAATTTTTTTTGCCATTTAAGCGTTTTTTTATCACTTTATTGTTGTTGTTATACTAGCGGTTCGCCAGCCCTGCTTTATTATGGGCTTATTAGTCTAAGTCATCGAGGAAATCAATTACTTTGCACAACTTTCATATCTTGTTCTAGAGTAAGTCTTTTTATTATGAAATTGCGAGCGCAAAGGCCAACTCTGATGCTATGATTGCCTCATTTACAACTGCAACTGTTAAAAAAAACACCCTTTATATTGACTTATAGAGATAGTTCAACTGTTCAGCGTTAGCTAGAAAAAATTTTAAAGCCACAATAGATTACATGACATCTTTTACACGATTACTTACTGAGTTCTAGAGAATGATGCTCGGTGCTCTTCTATCTTAGTTATCTTCCATCTGTCAAGAAAGTATTGATCTTTATTCTCCACTGTACAGACAAACGAACTAAGAGAAGTATTGTACTTTGAAACTCAACTTTAGTCAACGCTTTGAATTAGAAAAAAAAATAGACTTTTAAAATTATGTATTTTAGAATTGTGCTAATTAGAACCTCAGCGAGTGCTCTCACAAATAGCGTTTAAAATAAACTTAAAGTGATGAATAAAATGAATATCGTTATAATTGAAAAAGCTAAAGTTATAAAAAAGTGACGGTTAGCAGCAAAAATTAAGAAAGCAAAAAACAATTAAATTGAAAATACTAAAATTAAAAAGTACTGCAACGACCACTTCAAAACGCCGCAATGGAAGGTCGCCTCATCGAGTACCGCCCCATTGGTGGCGGCCTTGACTACCACCACAATTCTCCTTTAATTGGTGAAATACCACCAGCCGGCGGGGACTACAGCCATGCCGTCCATCGTTCCATCGATCAATTGCGAAACAGTTTGAATGAGCGGGTCGCTCTTGGTCCGCTGAGCGTTTTCTCCAATTCATCCGCCGATTTGCGCTCGTCGGTATTATCCTATAGCCAGCAGCAGCAGCAGCAGCAGCACCAACAACAACAGCAACAGCCGACACAACCGCAACACGCTAGTCATCAACAGCAGCAGCAGCAACAACAGCAGCAACAACAACAACAACAACTGGCTACACAATATGCCCAGCTGACGTCGGCAAATGCTAACAACAGCGCCAACTCCGATTTGCTTGTACAACAGCAGCAGAAGGTAAGCACTACCACGGGTATTGCACAATCACCGGCTGTGGCAGTTGCAAATAGCAGCAACAACAGTAACAGTAATAATGTTGTTGGAAATGGCGGTGCAGTTGCCGCAAAGATGTCAGCCGACACAAATGCAATTGTCAGCTCTACAGTTCCGAATGGCAGCGCAGCAGGCAACAGCACAACCGCCGGCACTAGGAACGGCACAGTTACCACTGGTTCTGGTAATGGTAGTGGCAATGCTGGCGGTGGTGGTAGTGGTCGCGGCCGCAAGGCTCGTATTTATCCTAATCCAAATCAGCATATAATTGTAACCAGCAACAGCGTAGATCATCATCATGCCGCGGCTGGTCGCCATCATCATATCGGCACTGTTAGTGATGGTGGCGGCGGCGGTAGTGTCGGATCGACAACTAGTTCGCCCAGACATTTGGATATCAAAGATGCTAAGGTACTGTTAATTATACTCGTTTTCAGGAATTTTACAAACAACCTAATTTATACGACTATGTGTATGTATGTATGCATATCTGAAAGCTCATAGAAGACATAATTTGAAGTTATCAAAACTTTGCGTTCCGCCTTTACACTGGTGGCCAAAACTAAAGCAACTAAACACCTTTTTCAATTTTTTGTTCGATTTAAGACAGTGTGCTTGTTTTTTCCACGATCCCTTTTGATTTCCCGATCAATTATGCTCCAGACACTCTCAATCTTTTAAAGCGTTTTTATACACCAATCAATCCATTGTTTTTGCCACATGAAAAACAGCCCAGCCCATTGCAGAACTTGAGATCAAGGTGCTTGTTTGCTGGTCGGCATATGGTGAAATTTTTCATGTCAGAACCTTTAATAATAAACTTCAATTCATCAGATAATAAAATATTTCTCCATTGTGAGGCGTTTCAATTGATATGCGCCTTAGCAAACGCTGGTTTGGGTTCGTCCATTATGTACGGTATTTAGTGTTCCACTTGTATTAAATCGACTGATTTATTAAATATAAATTAAAATAATAATTTTTCTTTTAACGAAGAATTGTACTTATTTCTCGCCATTTTTATTCAATTATTTTTCAACGCGAATTTTTTTTTCCGACGCGTGCCACTCCTTTAGTTTTGGCCACCAGTGTATATTGCGGTGCATGGTATCTAATATCAATAAGACAAGCAAATATTTTATATTTAAATTTGTAAAGATATTTATTTATACTAGTATGTGAGCGAATCAGAGCATCCCTCTTACTATTCCATAAATATTAAGTTCTAAAAAACAGAACTGCATCAGCTCCGCACGGTAAGTAAAAGCTTCGCAATTGCAGACATTTGAAGTAAACGGATGCTCTGTTAATTGAATTCCAACGGAAGGAAATGTAGTCAAAGCCCTTGGCGTCTTTAGGAAGTAGTTGTTCAAGCCCAAGGTAATTATTCTACCAACCACGACTATGTGCGAAACCTCAGCTTCCTTGGGTTAGTCCCCAATTAAGTTGTATCGTGAAATAACTGGGCGCTATAGAGCTCTCATAATAAGGAACATCAAGTTGAAATAGACAACACTTCTTGGCATCTGATTCAAATTAAACATAACTGAGAAGAGGCCTCCTGTTACTATTTCCTAACAGAAAAAAATCTTGCAATTAAGTCGTGAATAAACTCAAAAAACCTTTCTCTTTAAGCAAAGCTTTGGTTCTTTTTGAAGGATTCAAATTCTTCCACACTTTCCGTAATTTGGAAACATTTACGGGTATGGGGGAAATTGAATATTGCACCAGTCAACATGATTTTGGGGTCTAAGTCCTACCAGTTATATTAAAATATCTCCTAAATTGAAAGAACGGGGAAATTGTTTGGAATAATTAAATTTTATTTTTTTTAATTCTTCTCACCCATTAACATCATGGAAGAGTTTGGGCATCCCGCTCTGCACTTGTAGGTTCAACATAAAAGAGTTATTCATTGGAGATGCTAAGTTAAGATAGGGAAATATGGCCAGAATGGAATAGGAGAAGGTCACCTCACGTTATTGAGCTGAAAGGAAAGGAGATATCTACAGCGCGCAGAGAGGTCGGGCGTACCAACTAATGATTTCTGCGTAAATTGGAGGCAGGAAGAAGTACCTGAAACTTTCTCTGCGAATGTCAGTCTCTAGCGGCGATCTGAGCGAGATAGGGAGGTCCAAGATGTGGCGACGGCTTAGTTTTACAGACTCCAACCACTGGTTCGATTATTGGGGGATCATTAGGATCCTCAGTGGTATCACAATGTAACCTAGGTGAGCTGGTGACCGGCAGCCACTTCAACCAACTAACCCACCAATTCTTCTCGTCAGTGCAGCAAGAGCTGATATTTCGACCTCCAGAACTAAATGGGTTAAAGAAAACTTATCATCGCTAATCAGACAAACACAATTATAAGCTTAAAATTAAAAATTTACTATTTTTCAAGTTCCGGAATCTGAATTTATGCAAGAGAAAAGAAACCGAAAAATATATATTATTTTTTTATTGACCGGTGTTATTATTAAGTGGCGTGGAAACCTTTCAATCAGGTTTTGAAATACTTACAGTTCCTCATTCCGACATATTTCTTTTTAGTTTTCATATGTAACTATAACCTGACTCTTTATTTAAAATAACGTTTTATCTGTTTACAGATTTTCAGCTCGAAGGCAGATCTACAGCTACATACTCAAATTCATATGCGAGAAGCCAAACCATATAAATGTACGCAGTGCTCTAAAGCGTTCGCAAACTCATCTTACCTGTCACAACATACCCGCATCCATCTGGGCATAAAGCCATATCGATGCGAGATTTGCCAACGCAAGTTCACCCAGCTATCCCATCTGCAACAGCACATCCGCACCCACACCGGCGACAAGCCGTACAAGTGTCGTCATCCCGGCTGTCAGAAAGCCTTCTCACAACTCTCCAATCTACAGTCGCATTCGCGTTGCCACCAAACAGACAAACCATTCAAATGCAATTCCTGTTATAAATGTTTCTCGGACGAGCCATCACTGCTCGACCATATACCCAAGCATAAGGAGTCTAAACACCTGAAGACACACATTTGCCAATATTGTGGCAAATCGTATACGCAGGAGACGTATCTAACCAAGCATATGCAGAAGCATGCGGAACGCACGGATAAGCGACCGCCAATCGCAACTATAAATACGACTGGCAGTGCTGGCGGCGCGGGTGCGCCAATTGGAAGCAATACCAACAGCACCACTGGCAGTAATGTCAATGGTGGAGGTAATATTGCAGGCAGTGTTGCTGGTGGTCCTCCTGGTGGCAGTGCCGTTGCGAACAGCTTATCAAACGCGAATCCGCATAACCGGCAGACGCTTGGCTTGCCGCCGGTGTCGATAGCACCCACCGAGCATTCCTATTGGCCCAAGGTCAGTCCAGACTCCGCTGCCAATATGTCGGATGTCATGCATCAGCAGCAGCAGCAACAGCACCAGCAGCAGCAGCAGCATCATCACCATCAACAGGCACAACAACAACAGCAGCATGGCGGTCAGCAGCACCATCATCAGCAACAGCAACCGCAACAACAACAACAATCGCATATGGACTTTCCGTCGGTAAACACCGGAGCTGGCGGTAGTTCTGGCGGCGGCGGTGGTGGCTCTGGGGGTTCTGGTGGCCCACCGAATGGGCATGGCGACTTACAACCCCATCACCGCATGAGCGACAATGGACGAGAAGATATCGGTGAGTGTGACAAGATAAGTAAACATATTTATTGTGCCTTTCTATAAATGACGCTTTGCGACGACTTGGAGTTATGTTAATGTACTTGTGAAAATATTCGCAATACACTACCAACAACATTACCCTTTTCCGTCGCACAGTCAGCTGAGAGTAAGCAGTGTCAGGCAAGTTTGTTGATGTTAGGTCATAAACCCTTTGACAATCCCTAGTTGTCTAAATAGATTATTTCCACAGTGAAACGTTTGGCTTTATTGAAGTCTACGTTTCATCTGGAGTGTAGTTCGTGAGTGATTTAGCTAGCTTACTCCAGCTTTGAATGAACCAAAAAATAATTTAAAATTTTGCGCTTGTTGGGACGTTTGAAATCAACACCATACCACAGTAAAATACCAAGGTTAAACTAAAATTTAGAAATAATGCAGTTGATGTCACAACAAAATTTTTCCGAATGCCCCAATTGCCTAAATTGTTAAGATCTTCCTGTAATTGTTAAGCAACTGAAAACAGCGAATGTGTTTAAATAGGACGATTATGCATAAAGCAACAAGTTTGAATTTTTAAAGCAAGTTCCAATGTTATTTATAAAAAGAAGAAATAATAAGGAACCAAGAATGCTACCTTGAGTTATCTCAGAGGTGGCCTCAAAGGCAAACGATCACTTATTCAACAAAAGGGAATTAATCGGAGTGATATGATCTAAGCCAAGGTTGAAAAGAAGAGTGAAAACCTAGGCGCTCTAGCTTACGTAACAAAATGCTATGCGGGACAATTTTAACGGTTTTTGAAAAATCGGTATGGACGAGATTAACTTCGTATCCCTTCTTAAAAGATGCAATGCAATAACGATAAATACAAGCTAGGTTAGCGACAGTAGAACGACCGCTAACAAAACCATGCGGGTCTTTCTGATGTAGCCTTTAACCACAAAAAAAAAACAATTCATCCTTTACCACCTTTTCGAGAAATTTCGAACGAGTTGATAATTTAGAAGCAATTTTCCAAGGATTAATGAAAAACTTTTTAAGTAAAGCAGCAATCCCTGAAAAAAGATTTACGGTATACAAAATGCTTTCAAAACTCATCCTGCAGTAGGTCATGCAAATGGAATATTGGACCAACCTTTCTTAGAGTGAATATATGTATGTCCAAAATGTTTTTTTATTCGTTTTTAACCTTTCCTCAAAACGGTAAATATATTGCGGGTAAAGACAATTATCAATATATTTCACCCTGAGTATGGTGACTTACTGACCTCAAATAAATTATAAAATTTGTTTTTAAGATTTTTGAACTCTTTTAAGCGTTCGTATACTACGGTAGTTTATGCAAATGAGGGCAAACAAAAAAAGGCAATAAGAAAATTGATCATTCAGCTTGAATAACATCTAATTTCCAATCGATTTACAGAATATCAGTCATCAAAGAGGCGAAATCGGCGTCACAAAAATTATAACGTTTAATAGTATTGCTGTGTGAAACGGAGATGTAGTTAGGAAACTTTTGACCAAAGAACAACGGGACATGATGAATATCCGATTTACAAATTGGGAAAGCACAATCTATTTCAAAGCTTAATTTTCTTCGAAAAAAATAGGATCAGATTATTATATACTTATGTTATACCGAAGAGAATTAACTTGAATTAAGTTTGGACTAAACTGGAGGTTGAGATATACGAATAGGAAACAAAAATAAAAATATTACCTAATTACCCTTTGATACAAACACAGAGCTGATCGAGAATAAAGTCATCATTATCAAAAGCAAAAGCAAAAAATTGAAAAATACGATTAATTGCAATTAAAACACCTTCAACTCTTAAACAATTTACCTTAATTGCATCTCTATCTTAACGAAATGTAATTTACAAATTAGGCTCGAAAAATTCTCCACCAAAAAACTCACTACTCAACCCCGATTCCACAATATCGAATATGTCAAATCAGAGCGTCAGCTAAACAGAATCACATCCTTGGTTTTCAAAATAATCCCCCTCAGATATAATACACTTATGCCAGCGTTTTCTCCAATCCTCGAAACTCTTCTGAAACGCGTCTTTATGGTATCCTCAATAGCTCCTGTTTCGATTTTTTCTCAATCGTAGCAAAACGCTTTGCTTTCATCGCTGTCTTCAGTTTTGGGAAGAGGAAAAATTCAGCGGGTTCCAAGACTAGTAAATACCGTGGTTGAGGCATGATAACGGTTTTGTTTTGGCCAAAAAATGTCGCTAAAGCATCGATGTCTGAGCTGGTGCGTTATCATATTGCAAAATCCATAATTGTTTTTTCCACATTTTTGTGCGTTTCTGACGAATTGCTTCTAGGTTGTATTCCTTATTAACCGTACGACCTTATGGCAAGAATTCATGATGCACCACTCTGTTTCAGTCGAAGAAAACAATGAGAAAAACTTTCACAATTGACCGAACTGGACGTGCTCGGGAAACCAGGTCGAGCATTGTTATTGACATCTTCTCGGCCTCAAAGTAGACTCGCCAAAGGCCACAGTCAATAGTTCGAATGTCCTTGCGCATTTAATTTCATTTATTACATAAAACTTAATACAGTTTTTTTGATAAATTTTTTCGAAAAGTAGGCGTGCGTTTTTCGAAAATTTTACCATTTAATGAGTACTGCAAAGATCGAGACAAATGGTAGTCTGACGGGGCAAAGTCAGGACTATGTGGCGAATGCATCAACAGTTCTCAGCCAAACGCTCTCAGTTTTGGCGAGTAACCAAAGATATCTGCAGTCCACCATTTTTCTGACACCTTATGGATTGACCAATTCTGACCGCTTTTCGTTGATGGACGTATTCAATTTTCCCAGTTGTTTACAGTAGACATCCAGGAGCAGCTCAAAATGTACCACACCCTTCCAATTCCCCGAAACAGACAACATAATCTTATTTTGGTGAATATCAGCCTTTGAAGTAGTTTGTGTTGTTTCATCATACTTAGACCATAATCGCTTTGCATTGACGTTATTGTAAGCAATTCATTTTTCATCTCCAGTTATGATTTGCTTCAAAATCGGATCATATTCATTGCGTTTAAGATGCATATCACAAGCGTTGAAGGGTTCTTCAATTCATGTGATACCCAAATATCAAGTTTTCTTTATCGGTTCAAGACGTCTTATATGATTATGAATATTATTTGGCATACTTAACTTCTCTTCAACGCTCTAGCAACCTGCGCCGCATTTTTTTCCTTTAAGAGCCTTATATTAAAATTAACGCCAAAAAAACAATCATGAACCAAGTTACGCGTACTTTTTTTCTAAAACAAGCTAAAAGAGACAGCTTATAACGGTCAAAAGAAAATATAAAATTAACTAGTCACAAGCTGTTCAAAAAATTGTCAACGCCGTCAGTGTGAAAAATCGCCGCCTTCTTAATTTCAATACTAAAATGCTTAGTTGCATGGGAAATAACAGCATCAGCTCTATCAGATGGCTTAAAAGTCGAGATACATAGCCACCTCTTAGCCGCATCAGCAACATCAAGTTCAAAGTTAGCATTATGGTCAAAAACTATATTCTTAGATTTTGAAGAATTTTTATTCTGTACAAGAGCAGCAAGATTATTACTTAATTATTGCTTCTGAGCAACTGCAGAAGAGCAAATACGTGTAGAAGAAGTGTGAGAAACAGTAAGCGTCGTAATTATAGCAGATATATTAAATACTGAAAAATAGTATCGAGCCTTTATAGCAACAACAAAATTGTCGTTTGATTTTAGCAGGCTGGAAGGAAGGCTAGAATTATGAATAAAAGGTCTTCTGGATCAGTTAATTCAATTTATTTTAGCTACTCCCAGATTGAATAGAATTCTTGAATGTTATCTTTCTTCAGTTGATCAGTTGATCTTCCAACATACATACGTAGGTTCAACATCTTTCTAAATATAGATATTTTTCAATTCGGTCCGCACGGTTGATATATTTCGTTGAACTTATGCCAGGGTTTTCTCATCGTTTATGTCAAATGCCACTGATTCTGCTGCCGTCGCATTTTCAGCCTTCACCAGTCGTCCGCATAAATTTGATCGCAATTCCGAGTTCCTCAGAACAATCCTCATTTGGACAGCTTAATTCAACTTCTCGTTCGCCGCTGTCGTTCATACCTAACTTACAATATGACATAATTCAAAAACATCTATCTTTTCTTACTGCGCAGTAGAGTATAAGAACGTGTTTTAATCGTTCAAGTAATTAACAGGAGGGAGAGAATTTCGAAGATGTTAAACCTCATATGCGAGGTGTGTCCAAAGGGAAAAGTGAATTTTGATTTTCTTTCTGAAAAGTACTTATTTATTTATTTATTTTCTGAAATGCGCGCTACGGCACGACCATCAGCTCTGTCTTCGAAACTGACCTGATCTCGTCAATGGTGGCAAAACGCTTTACTTTCATTGGTTTCTTCAGTTTTTAGAACAGAAAAACACGCAAGGCGCCAAATCTATGAAACTCCTTGGTTGAGGCATGATTGTGGTTTTGTTTTTGCCAAAAAATTCACGATTATTCATTGGTGTGTGAGCATAGAACACCAGCTGATGCAGAATCCACGATTTGTTTTTCCACAATCCCGATCAGTTGAGCCGTATTGTTTCAAGTTGCTTGTAGAATTCCTTATAAACACGGTGAGCCCTGCGCCGAATTTGCTTTCCTTTCGTCCGACAGCCCAGTAAGCGATGCAGTGTTGTATGCTATCGCCAAGAGATAATAATAAAGTATTATTAATGAGAAAAGGAATGCTTTTTTGTCGCGCTATTTTGGGCGTAAATCCACGTACGTGCTTTCGAGAGGTGATCAGCTACAAAAGGCCTACCGAAGTGAAAAGATTGTTCGTGAAAAAAACTATTTATTTATTTTAGTTTTGGAAGTATTGACTGCCCATAAGATTAAATATGTCGGAGAGAAAAAAAATAGTGACACCTCAAGCGAAATATTTTCATCTTCTAAACATCGTCGAGTAGTGCGGTTGTCATCATCAGAAGATGATAATTCGTTGGAAGAGGAAAGGCAAACTGAGAATTACAGTGAATTTTCAGCGAATTTAAAAGTTTGATCAATGTACGCAAATGGAAATATTACGGCCTTCACAAGTGCTGCCGGGGCAAAAAAAAAAATAAAAAAAATTAATGAGAAAGTTCGTAATTGTTCAACGGCAGAAGATTGCTCTGCACTTTTTGTTACTGAAAAAATCTTTGAACGCATCAATGAGCTAACAAGCCTTTATGCTGCACAATTAAAAAATTTCCGTAGACGTAAAAATAAATGAACGCCAACGATGGAAATTAAATTAAACTTTTGTTTGGGCTAATAATATGGATTGGAATGGTGAAACTATTATCTTTACGTTTGTCTAAGGATAAATTATTTTATTATTATGGGTAGAGACAGATTTGAAATACTCATGACAATGATTCATACCGCAGATAATGAAACGGTCTAATCGTCAAGCAAAAATTCAACATTTGATAGAAGAACGAAATAAATATTTTATTTGGTATTGATCCCATTCCGGTCGCGGATGGGTACGCCATAAAGATATTTAAATTATGTTGTAATCGCGGAAATATGTGCACACTATTTTTATGTGTACAGTGGAAACTAGATGAGGAAACTCCAATCCAACCAGAAATATTGTTCATAAATTACATAAAAAGGAAGGAGACGTACATAAAGTTCGAAGAAATTGCTCGGAGTGTTATGAAAAGAATTCACAACTATTTGTACGAAAGACAGCTACAAATGTTACTAAAAAAAGTTATTACATTGTATTGTAATATGTGTAAAGATAAGCAGCAATTTTGTTTTGGATGTGTCAATAAATTTGATTAAAATCATATTTGATCATATTTTATTGAAACTTATTTTATTTTTCAAGTCCCCATGGACCGGCGCCATGCCCAACATGTTAACTGTACGACCTTTTGGCAGGAACTCAAGATACACCACACCTTAGTAATCAAATAAAAAAAAAATTCACCTTTACCTTTAAACACACCGCATCATTCAATACTTATTGGAAATCATGCCACATACCATCGCCGAATAATCCGAAGAAAAGTTTTGAAAGCACTCTAAATTTTTTTAATTTCTAAAAATGTTAGAATATTTTATTGCGTACACTCGGTTTTAGGGTTATGGGGTTGCTTTTTCTTCTACAGCTCCATAATACGGCTTTCCCACCGCATCGTGAATTATATTCTTCATCCTCTAAATAACAACGTGAATTACCCCAAACACATGGCACGCAATTTGACAGTTTCTGTTTCGTTGGTTTACTTTTTTCTTCCATTTGAATACGCACGGACAATTAAAGATTTAGGGATTAATTAGAAAATCAACACATTATGTCAGATTGTACTGCTTATAATTTCAACTACTTTAGACATTATATTATTTCCATGTCAGCCCAATTACATGTTACACTCTCTCAAACGTAATTTGCACTCGAAATACATGCCGAATTATTTGATTTCCCATACAAATTTTCGTGAGCGAATTACAGTAAAAGTTGGTGATTGGTTCTCAATTGCCGTGCGATTTGCTATCAAATCGATGCCTTCTCTAATTTTATTGAAACCAGATAACAAACCAAAACAAAAGAGATGAAAATCATTAAGGGAAACACTAACAAACCATGAATGCTGGTTAAAACCAAGCACTATTTGTATATTCAAGATGAAAAAAATTAGAAATCATTAAAGAAACTAGCATTGCATTACCAATTCAATTCAGTCAAATTGCGTGCCGTGTGAATGGCATATTTAATTAAGAGGACGAACAATGTATTTTACGTTACCGTGAAAAAGTCGTATTATACATGTATAATTTCAGGTTTTTTCGTTCTTAATATACAAATTATGTTTTGGTGTCAAATAAATTTTTGCGTTTGAGTGTTTTCTTTTATGGCTCTCAAATTTTTTATTATTTTTATTTGTCAGTTGTCTTCGATAAATTTCCGGTAAAAACTAGAGAAAGCATCGATTTGGGCGTAATTCGCATGATAACTGAGAATTAATTACCAACCTTTAGTTTTATATTAAAAATGTGTATGGCGAATTAAGTAATTCGGCAAGTACTTGGAGTGCAAATTACGATTGACAGAGCGATTGGGCTGCCGTGAAAATGCCGTATAAGTTTATGAATTCTTTTTTCTAGGGTCTTCGCTAATTATCAAATGAACGAAACGGAACAATTACTTCGATTGCGCTCTCGCACAGCCTTAAGAGTTTTCCTATTTCTAACATATCGTTTTCTATGCGATTCAATTATGTTTGTCAATAAATGCTAACGATCTTTCCGCGATATATAACGGTTATAAAACCCTATTTGTTACAACCGTGTCCACATCTTGCGCGTTACTAAATATTTAATATAGATAATTTTTTTTTTTTTTTTTGGTTTTAGGGATTTTTCGTTTCTTCCAAAAAATGTTTATGCATTCATCAACTTGTGCAACAACTATTTCCTAGAATTAGAAAACATTATACGCTATGAATTGAGAAACTTTTTAATATGTATTTTTATTTGTATGATGAAATTTTATAGTAGAATGTTCTTTTAATATATGTACATATGTATATTTTTCATTAATCACTTTCGAACAAAAAATCTGACTTATTTTATTTAACCATTATCTTTTCAGTATCTACGCCATCCACCGTGGGACCGTACGATGCAGCAAATATTACAAAGACCACCAGCAATTCCGCTTTCACACCGATCAATTCAATGCCACCACACCTAAATACACTCAGCCATCATCCCATGGCACAGCGTCCCTATCTCTATGATGCAATCAGTTTCCAAAATAAAAATGTCAATCAAAATAATTCCAATTCATTTCCAAATCAATTAATATCGTTGCACCAAATTCGAAACTATGCGCATCAGCCTGCTGGTCTAATGGCTGGAGAGCATTTACTCGGAGTTAGTGTGGGTTCCGGCAAAGACAAAGGATAGCTATACTTTTAAGTGCGAAAGCACACACAATCTAAAGAGGATTTCTTGGATGTACTTGAGGAATATATGGAGTAACAAGTGGAGTTTTTCAAGCCACTATAGGGTTTTTCTACATTTTTATTTTAAAATATATTGGCCTAATGCTTAGTTTGAACAAATTTGCCATAACTTCAAATAGACCATGAGTTCTACTTACGAAATTCATTGAGATAAATGCAAGAGAATTATTGAATGTCTGACCAAATCCCTCTCATGTTAAATCAACAATCAGTCTCTATTTCTCTCTTATTGTTAAATATGTAGGCAGAAATATAATTTAGGTCATAGTTTTAAAAGATAATTAAATTTTAGCCAACCTAATAATGGCGGCCGCGATAACCAAGTGGTTAGCTTTGCGTACTGCCATTCGGAAGACGAGGAGGGGGCTTAGTATAAACTGTAGGTCCCTCCGTTTCTTGGAAAAACATCAGGACGCAAAACCTTCATGGGTTACAAAACGCCTATTATATTTACTGTGTACACGTATGTTAAACAAATTCAACAATGGCAATAAAAATGTAAAAAAATTTGTTCCAATCGCCGTCCAAGTAGCAACTTTAAATTCAAATTGAAGTTACGGATTTGAAGAATTCAGTGTTTTCTGGATTTTTAATTCGGCTGTCATTAAAGAAAGTGATTCCGCTACATCAAAATCCGTTCAGCTTTTATTACTTACTAGAAGAGTAAATCTCTTCATAATCTAAATACATAGTTAGATTCTTTGAAGAAGCATATTTGTATATGGTTTAAAATCTACAGTTTATTCAATTCTGATCTTACTAGAAACTTCTAGGATCACCACTGCTATAAGGTGTATTCTAGTTAACAATATGGAGTTATCCATTTCGTGATTTTAAAAGAACAAAGCATTAACGTAGCCACATTTCGTGCTTTAAAAGGTGTGATTGTGGTGCCCAATTCAAGGATATTTGAAGAGAATGGGTCGGTTACAGTTTACCTCGTTCCATCTCCTTATACCTTCAACTGAAACCAGCCGACGATTCACAATGCCAAACATGCGGTCATTGGGTGTTTGAACAACAAGCAGTGGACGGTGATTTTTTTGCGATCTCAATTGTCCAACGAGATCGTACGATCGACACCGTTGGACTCCTTCTGTGGGGCTACGCGAAAGACCGTGTTTATGCGGATAAACCTTTGACTTTGGAACACTTGAAAACCAACTTCGTGAAGTTATTGCTGAGGTACCACCCAATATGGGCCAAACAAATTACCTCAGACGTATGGCAGTTTACAAATTTTTGCAAGGCGGTCATTTGAATGTTGAAACTTTATGATAAGAAAAATGTTATTTTATTGTATTTTAATTCCGTTTACCTTCTAGAACGCAAGATGGATAACACTGTATTTTCAAATATTTTAAAATTAAATCAAAACGGTTTCTTAATTTACATTAATGAATGAAGAAATGGATACACTTTACTCTCTTCCATAACAGCTCCGTGACACTTTGGATAGTTGATTTTGACCAATTGAAATCTTAGCATAAAAAATACGTACTCTTCCCTTTGTGAAAGCAAAATCTTGAAAAGACTGAAAAATATATGAGTTCTACTCAAGCCCCGATAATATTTGGTAAGATTTTAGAATAATTAAAACCTGAATGAAGCCAATTTAAGACATTTGTCTACGTAAATCTTTTTAAAAAAGAAAATGCCCATCCATGATTGCACATTTCTTTCTTAACGTATAAAGTGTTTGCCGATTGACTCAAGTACAGATTTATGGAATCCTTAAAATAGTCCAAAAGCTGGCATGTCCTGTCTTGCCGGTTATCGTTCCGCTGGTGATTACAAATAGCCCAACAAGTAACTGTAAAACTAAATAAATAAAAATAAAATACAAAAATAGCCGAGCATAAAATCAACACACTTAAAAATAGTGAATTTAAGAATTTTATTAATTTAAAATGAGATAGAATATTTATTTATAAGAGATTTGTACGTACATATGTAGGTATTGCAAGCGAAGCGTTAGTTGTGTAAAACTGTTTACTAATTTATATTAATATGTATGTATATTTATTTAAGTGCATTTATGAAAATATGTTCAAATCGAATTGAAAATTTTCAACTGTAATTAAACATAGATTTTAACGGTTACAACTGTAAAATGATAGTAAATATTTGAACTAAATGGAAACAAAAAGCCGTCGCAATGAGAGAAATATACTAGCAGAAGTTTGTAAATACTAAATATGGTATATAAACATACCAACATACATATGTAAGTACTCAATACTTTTCTCGAAGCTTGAGTGATTAGATACTAAAGAAGATATGTGAAGTAATGCAAATTAATAACTATGATAAGAAGAATAAATCAATTGAAAAGAATAAGGATAAATATTTAAAATACGTGTTATACAAGCAAAAAAAAATTTTAATAAAAATTTCAATTTTAATAATAAATACATATGTATGTATGTAGTTAAGTAAGAAATGAAATTTGGATTACTTTTGTTTTTATTGTAATATAAGGTTTTCATGCTAACGAATTTCATGTAAATGTTTGTATGTATTTAAAAATTGAATTTAAAAATTTGCAACAATGAAAAGTAAAAATTAACCACAAATTTACATTTACACCACGTAAATACATATATATTACATATAATATTTATGTAACCAAAAACTTGCATGTATTTACTGCTATGAAAAAATGCAAAGAAAAAACGTAAAGAGAAAAACCGACAAATAACCGGAAGAATACACCCTTCTCTCGATCAAAGTAAGCACTGAGGGTTCACCATTATGTATGTATCTACTTGTATATTTTAGATTTTAAATTTAGAGCAGAAACGCTGTTAAGCGTTGAAACTAATGTCTTGTAAGATAAATACTTTTTTAAAATATGAATAAGTAAATATAGCCAAGTCTGTTTGGTTGAAAGTTAATGAACATTGATTGATAAAACATACATACCTAAATATACATGTAAGAAAACATAAATTCGAGTTTGTAATAAAATAATATTGCGATGCATACATATAAACTAATAGAAAATGCTTATTAAGCAAAAAAAAAAAAAATATTGCAAAAAATCTAATTGGCAATAAGTGTTTATAACTAAATATATATATATATATATATATATATATATATATTGTATATGTATATGTAACTCTAATTGTATGTGTAATTATCAAAATAAAGTTACTGAAATTAATGTCCTAAATTATGAAATGGAAAAATATTTAAAATATTGAAAATATAAGCGTTTTACTGATTATAATATTTTGCCATTCGGAATTTAGAGCAGCCTTATAAAGGGTGGTTTTCAATGAGGCAATACTGTTTTCTTTTTGGTTTTGGCTTGCCATTTCATAATAAACAGTCTAACTCGTTCAAACTTATTGCCAAAATAATAGTTCCGTTCTCATGCAACTCGTTTACCATAGTGGATAATGCTCACCGAAGATGCTATTGCTGACGTGGGGCAGAATATCGTACGAGCTGACAACCGATCGCGATTTCCATAAGAAAGTAGTGTTCAGAGATGAAGCTCACTTTCGTTTGAATGTGTACGTTAATAAGCAAATAATCGCGTTTGTGAAAACATTCAAAAATTAAATGTTTGGTATACCCTATGGGCAGAGGTAATCATTGCTTCATGCTTCACAAAAATAAGACCATAATTAATGACTTTTTCGTATCGGACTTGGAGTTTGCTGATTTTTACGGTTCCAGCAAGACGGCGCTTCATGCCACACAGCCAACGAAAGAATATATGTACTGAAATAAACTTTTCGCGGCATTGACCTGTGGCCTCTAAAATCGTGCGATTTAACGCTGCTGAACTATTATTTGTGAGATTATGTGGCCGGGAATGATAACTGATTTGTTGAGTTTGATCTTTGTCTGTCGTGTGAAGTTGCCTACTCGATAGAAAGTTGGATTGGATTTCCAGATGTAAATACTGGTTTCAAGATAGCCGAAAATATCGCGAATGCGATGACTGTTTGTTTGATGACTGGAGATATTGTCTTGTCTACAAACACTGCCAGCACAAACGACTCATTTCTTAATCCAGAACTCACGACGTGGTTGTTGACGCAAATGATGTCCAGAGAATAATTTATCTTCTCTATTCAGCTCTGCAACTTTTATAATTTTTTCAAGCAAAATATTAGAGATCTCACACGACAAAGAATCTAAAACCTCATCTCTTCCCGACAGAGTTTTTAGTGTTGCTTAACATCAAATCTCACTGCCGTATCACTATTTGGGTATACCAAATTCAGACATAACTGCGTAGAGGCAGCTCTTTTCGCGCGGTCTGTTTTGGAATAGCCGAAAAGGTTATGTGTGGCGATCTACTTTTCATGGATCTTTTTCAAGATTTGCCATATGATGAATATCTTGTCAATGGTCGATTTACCAGGTCTCAATCCAATCAGTTTCTTGCCTTTAGTCTTTAGCACAATAAGCTTTTACCAGGTCTCAATCCAATCAGTTTCTTGCCTTTAGTCTTTAGCACAATAAGCTTGACCCTATATGCGAAGGTTATCACACGTTGATTGACGTAAACTATGGATTTCTCTTTTTTTTTGGATTGGGCTAGAGCGCACTTTAGCTCCAATCGTCTGGCATGCTTCAATCCCTTCATATTCTGTTGAAAAAGTATTCTACCATCAAGAACACTAATTTTTCAGTTGAGGAAAAATAGGTAGACTTTGTATTATTATGTTGATAAAACGAAGTTTCTCGACTAACCAATCAACAATAACCAAGAGTTTCACTAGGTTTTTTTTCAGCGATCCGAACATAACAGCCAATTTTTCAAAAAAAAAACCCGCATTACAAAATTGAATGCTTCCATTAAAAAAATTAATTCATGCTTTTCCTAAAACACTTCGTATATGAAATAGAAAACAGATAACACAATTTTCTTCATCATCCGATGAGTACCTTGAGGTGTTCCAGAATACAATACATATCTATTGATTTTTACTTTTCACCTGTGATATATAGATCTGAAAAGTACCGTTACAAAGTTAAGACGAAAGCAATTTTAACGTAAAATCAGCTCTGAGCTAGACTGCGTTATGTCATTTTATATTCTTTTATGAAATGGATGGCATAAAGATTTCTAACGGCATGATTAATTTAAAACCTGGAAAAATTTTATATATGTACATATGTAAATGTATACAAACTAGAGCCCAAGATTTTGTTCCAACATTTTCGATCTGTACGAACATTTGAGCAACGAGTGCTCGCAAACTCGTTCATTTCTCATTGCCCGTGCAAATCGTGCTTTCTCAAGTATTTTAAGCATTTTAAATATAAAATTTGAATATTTTCCCAGAACTCCTTTCTATATCTTTATAATTTTATTTATGAAAAGTATACAACTCATTGGAACACTGAAGAAAGAAAACACATGACTGAATTTTGAAAAACTTCAAACTATCTTTTGAGCAGTTGAGCAAGCAACGAGTATCGAACTGCTCACAGTGCTCGATACCCGGCTATCGTGAGCTCTAATACAAGCTTCTACATATACATAGATGTACATACCTACATATATTATTTTCATATTTATTATTTTTTTATAACTTAATTTAAGGCTCGCTTTTCCATAGCATAGAAAAGGAATATAGCCAGGATTGCGAGGTAGACGTATATGTATGTAGGTAGCGAAAATAAGATGCCAAAAACTGATACACTAATGAAAGATATAAAATTCAAATTAGCTCTAGACTCTCTTTCTTGTTTCAAGAAATGTTTACTGATGTTGTTTCTTAATCACAATTTTGTTTATCAAAATATATAACGATCAAATATATAGTAAATAAGTGTCACCGCAACCTTACATGATCGTTCTCTGGTTCAGGATAATCCGTACTGTATCTGATTTTTGGTCAACGGTCTGTCAGATTTACGTTCGTCTTTCAGGCGCTCGGTTGGGCGAGAGATTGGAAAAAAAACATTGTATACACACTGCTGCATAAGAAGTGATACAGGGTACATGAAATATATTTGTGTTATGTTTACAGCTCTGTGAGGATTCGTCGAAAAAACAAAGTAACTTCCAAGCTTAGGACAATTGCACTTCGCTTTAAAACTTTAACTATGATCATTTGAAATAAATCTGTACGCATGATGTGTGGTTAGAAACGGTTAATGAACTGGACGCAGCGATAGAATCATTTACAATTCTTATTCTTGAGGCCGCATATCCGCCTAGACCGTAAAGGAAGAAACTCACTTCTAATGAACACTTGCAAGCTACCAAAGGAAGACTAAGAAAAGCTTGGAAGGAAAATAGATACCCAGTAGAAAATAGAGCCCTTAATATTGGGCAATATTGACCGTTAAAATTTCGAAAAATAACCGCCTTAGATCATCAAAGGATACAACATTTATGGTTACAAAACAAGCATTGGTTGGGGGAGGGGGTGGCGTTTTCAACTGTCGCAAACGAGAGTTGAGTCGAGTGATAAGCACTCTGTGCATATTCTACTGCAAACGTATTCCGGCCACCTTTGAGACAGTGAAATAAAAACACTAAGTACAAACTGATCACCATAAACATTATTGAGAAGATAAGATTAATATTTACATTTATATGTACATTAATACATATATACACATGTACGTAAACACATAATTATCATCTTGATCGTGTCTACTCTCAATGCAAGTACTCAAAGATGACGATATTCGGCAATTCAGTGTTCAATTCAATGCAAGATCGTAGCTCATTTTAGATTTTGATTTGAGCGGTGGAACTTCGAATAAAGTGGTTGAATTTTGGCAAAAGGGAAAAGATACATACATATAATATTCTACATTCAATGTTCAAACAAAATAAATATTTATTATGGGCGCTAATGGTGATTACCCAAATGTTTACCGGTAAGTTATATTGAAAGCTCAAGTTGGCATACATGTACATATGTATGTATGAAACAATTTTTTTTTATTTACTTTAAATGCTTATTTATTAAATTTAATTATTCGTGCTAAGTTTACATGAAATTATTAATGTAGTTGTGCATGTACGAATAGTGATGAGTTCAGAATAAAATCATACATTTGTACATATGCTCGTACATAAATGTCTTGATCTTAGTGGTTGCAAATTTTTCTCGTTATCAACTCACACCAATACCAAAAACATGAATTTAGCTGCATGAATCATTCTCGGAATTTACTGACGAGGTCATGCCGTTATTAGATTTCGTCTCACAAATTCAAATTTTATTTCTCATGTCATAGCGCGGCGACCGCTGACAAAGATAACACGGCTGAGTCCGAGTGGGTGCCGAGAATGCTATTATATGTAGATTGCGTCTGTAGATTTTGTTGTTGTGTTTTGTTGAAATGTTTATTCGCAAACATTTCCAAATAATTGAAGAGAAACTTTTAAAATAAAATAATTGGCGAATGAATTGTTGAAATTTGAAACAAATTCTGATATTTTGCTTTGCTTGTGATTGATTACGTTAAAATTAAAAGGAAAAATGAATGAAAGTTTTGTCACATTAAGTTGAAGCCAGTTTTATCTTGTTAATATATTTGTATATACTTATATGTCAAACCCCCCTGCCGCGCGGAGACAAAGGAGCCTTCAACATCACGGCAATAGCCCATTCCTACTAATTTATTACTCATTGTTAGGCTTCTGATGTCCGACGCAGATTCAATAAACAAATACGAATGTTAAAAAAACCATAACATAGAGTCACGACAATTCATCTGTTTACAGATCACTCACTTCATTGAGGAAGGAATTAATCCTGGCAAGTGAAGAAATGATGCAGCAAAATGGTACGGTCCATATAATTTCATGTTTGAAGTTTATTTAATGCAGTACTCTGCCGCGGAAATACTGAAGTTGGTGATAAAACTTACTTGAAGGTTCATCACACAATTTTTAAAGTTTTTTTGCACATCTTTCCTATTTCAATGAATTGTATTCATCCAGCTACTTCTCGTTTGATATGGGTGCATTATTGTCAAATTTTTGAACAGAATTCTGGCTCTTGCCCTAGCGAAAGGTGATGAACGATTAGAACATGATGGTATAGAAAAATGTAGCAGGATATAAATGGGGATTTTAAGCTATTACTTTTTTGGCAACACTGGTTTAAGCAGCAGACGCACGTTTCGTGTTTTGTATTTAACCATGAATCATCTCACAAATTAATAACGCTTGCAAATTATTGAATTTTATTATTAAAATCGCTCACTTCTTCTGAGCGCGCTTCGAAGCTCTTTTTTGGCTTAATCCAGAAAACGCCACAGTTTGGTGTGGTTTATGGGCTGGTGGTGATCTGAATCGTGACGTAATTTTGAATGGTGAGCGCTACAGTGAGATGATATCAAATTTTTTTTTGCCAGCAATGCAAGAGCTTTACTTGCATGACAAGTGGTTTCAACAAGGCGGTACCACATGCCACACAGCACGCGTAACAATGGACTCATTGAGAGGCGAGTTCGGAGAACATTTCGGGACCGGTCAATTGGCCGCCTAGATCATGCCGTTTAAAGCCTTTAGAATATGTCTTGTGGGGCTATGTTAAACTAATGTCTATGCAGACAACCGCGCTTCAATTTCCGTATTGGAAATGTTGGAAAGAGTATGCCGAAACTCGACTAAGCTGATGGGTAATTTGAGGCCCAGTCACGGTCAATATTTGCATGAAATAATCTTCAAACATCAAATTTTATGGAACGTACTATCGATTCAAATAAAGATTTCATGCTTTTTTTTTGAAAAACTTTCCTATAGCTTTTAAAAAATCAAAAAATCAGTTTTTACATTCTAACATTTGCTAGTTTACAAGTAATGACGACTTTTATTTCATCTCATTAGCGCTGTCATCAAATAATACTTGGTCATGCAGCGATACTGAAAGCATTCCGCGCAGCAAACTTTGTGATGGTTTTGTCGATTGCAGTAATGGACGAGATGAGACTGCCTTAGAGTGTGTGACGGAGCCTTGCAGTGAGGACGAATATCGTTGTGCATATGGGGCCTGCATTAAAGCTGAAAAGAAATGCAACAAGCAAATCGATTGTTATGATCGATCAGATGAAACTGATTTTCTATGCGGTACTGAGGAGGAAGTTTCTAAAAAGATCAGAGGAAACTGGTGAGTTTGAAGTGGTGAAAGTGTTGTTGCATTGGTATATAAAAGATAAACAAGAATTCCGATACTCAAAGAAGGGCGTTGTATTATTATTAGTACAGTTGCTGTCAAAACTACAGGTATTTAATTTCATTATTCAATTCTGTGGCGATGCTTCTATATTTTTCTCCATAGAAATAGAAGTATACTCTCTCAGTGACTAACAATTTTCTCATCGAAATAACGGTTGCTTATTTGAAAACAAGTTCAAAAGCATAATTCCATTCAATGGAAGCTGTCAAAATAATAGCACCAATAATATAATTAAAAAGAGAGCTCATAAATCAGACAAACATTTTTCTAAAACGATTCTAAACGGTAATTGGCTATTGGCATACGTATTATTCGCATTTTTTTAAAAGAATTCTGTCGCTCTGTGTTCGTAATGGGTCGTGCTATACACTAACAGGTGAAAACCCTGAATTAATCAAAAAAACGAATATGCTTGAGAGACTTACAGCAAAATTGAGTAAGCAATATCCACTATCAAATTGATACTGTTGTCTCTGAAGAAGTATCAATTTGATACTATTTGGAGTTCACTAAGCATCACTGAACCACAAAAGTCACAAAAGTCAATCATCAAATTTTAGATCTGCCATTTAGCAGATCATAAAAATCAAATAAACTTATTTTACTGTGTTTACACAATTGTCGTAGAAAATAAAAAAAATAATGGAAGAGCAACTTTCTGCTTTTTTATTGATTTTTGCAAGAAATCCATCGCGAAGAAAGGTAATATTTGTTTAATTGGAAAAGAAACATAGTAAATAATCAAATAAATCATCTGCAGACACAAGAAGCACTTCATCCTTTCCGTTACAATTTAGGAAGTCATACAATTACTTAATGGCCTATTTTTCCATATATTTTTTTTTTATTATTAATATATTCCTTATAATAATTCATAAAAAGTAATCTACATTCTATACCAACAACATCAAGTGCTTTCACCATATCGTTAAACTCTAATTGGGTTCATTGGTATTTATTCACGGCTGTTAAGTCCCACAATACAATTATGCACAACTACCGAACTCACGTACCAGCCGTCCATAGTAACCTATTTTATAAGAGGGCCATGTGAACACAAAGTTGTCACCGCTTGCCCATGCCGTTAGTGACGGTTGTCCCACAGAAACCAACGACGATTTAATTTTTTCTGTCAAACCGGCTCGGCTCATTTCTCGTTGCTATACAAGGTTGCCAGTATAGTCTTTCTTAAAGTAACATTAAATAATCGAAGAAAATGCGTAGTTTTTTTTCAAAAGAAATGAAAACTAAATACGTAACTAATTATTTGTTGCCATATAGATCATGTATATTTGTCTTGTGTTTATATTCAAGCATATAAATTATGAAATTCGTTGACGAAAATTATGAATTTGTTCAAAAATGTGCAAACACACTGGCAACATTTCGCCGCTCTCAGCAGCGTCAATAACTCGTGTATGTATCTCGCCTTGACGTCGCCAGTTATGGACGGCTGGAAAGTGAAATGGGTAGTTGCAGCCTTATCATCATCATTATAGGTGCATATTCAAGAGATTGTAGGCACCATTTATCTGTGGTAACGCGCACTGCAATCTTCAGAATTTGCTCAAATCTGCACCACTCGAGATGTGTGATCTGTGAAAATGAAAAATTACTATTAAAATAAAACCAACATTATGTAGTATAATTTCAACAATTACCATTATAGCATTCAATAAGTAAGTTCACCAAGCCGCTTGCCATTTGTAACCGTAATGAGTGCGACCCCAATAAAATGACACCAGCCTCTTCATAAATATTTAAAAGCTCCAAACGATTTTCTGTGCTATTAGAATATTTAAGTAATTTTTTTTTTTCTAATATGCCATTCAAATTTCGTTTTTCTCTTCGTCTTCTGGTCATCTCGGGATGGCTTTCTATAATCCCAAGGCAGCATACGATTTGCTGCTGGGTGGTACTTTGTGCTCGATGAATATCGAAAAAATTTAAAAAATATTAGTAATGTAGATAAATAAAATAAATACCAAATGACTAACTCTTATATAAAGGTGTTAATCGATTGATAAGATTTGAAATTGTAAACTTTTTTAAACAAATGATTCAGGTTATTGCTTATTTTTAGTGTAATTACTAGTTTTTGTTCATTTTAATGTGCGCATCTCCAGCTAATGCCGCTATCAGCTGATCGCCAGAATTCATTTTTCGCCCCATTTTTCCAGCGAATTTTTTGATACACCCTGTGCTGAATTGCAATTCATACTATGGTTTCAATCAATTTGTAATTAGTGACTGCATCAAATTACTGAATGCCGCTATTAGAGAATATAACCCAAAAGCCCACAGTCCACGAAAAGCATATGTCCAAAACGGTGGCGGTTGGCTAAAATCACCTAGTATGACGAATTGAAAATTGGAGAAATATTCAGTGGACAGATGAGTGTAAGGAAGTTTTATTTGCTGAAAGGGTTCGCGATCCCATGTTAGAATATCACCAAATTCCTAATACAGCAAAAAGATTACCGCAAAAGGGTAAAACACGGAAGATCCAATATCATGATTTGGGGATGTTTTTCGTACTACCGTATTGCACTCATTCACTGTATAATTACCCTCATGGATGCAACAGAATACATCAAAATTTTTGAGGAAGTAATGCTGCTGCTGGACGGCATCGCAAACTCCGTACTTACAGCTGCAAGCGAAACTATTGGATTTCGTAAAGGTCGCAAAAACAGCTGGTACGATAAGGACTGTCGTATCGCAGTGAAGAGAAAACGCACACACTACTTTGGACTGAGTGGGCAACTGAAAAGTAAAGTCCTCGCCCGACAAACGAAAACCAAACTCTACAAGTCTCTCATTGTTCCCGTCCTGCTATATGGTGCGGACGCATGGACGTTGACAACATCTGATTAGACGGCGTTAGGAGATATCGAGAGAAAGGTTTTGTGTAAGATTTATGGCTCTTTCCGCTTTGACAACGGCGAATACTGCAGACGATAGAACGATGAGCTGTACGAGTTATACGGTGACATTGATATAGTTCAGCGAATCAAGAAGCAACGGATGGATGCAAATACTCCAGCTTTGCAAGTTTTCGGTGCAGTACCCGCCACCAGACACAGAGGAAGAGGAAGATCTCGACTTCGTTGGAAAGACCAGGTAGAGAAGGACCTGGCTGTACTTGGTATTTCCAATTGTCGCCAAATAGCAAAAAAAAAGGAATGGCGCATTGTTGTAAATCGTTTATGAAAATATGCCATCTATTTGGGTCATGCGAAAAGACGATGACCAATCACTTAAAAAGTTGTTTCAGGACAATGATGTCCCTTTGATGAAATGACCTGCACTTTAAGCAGATTTTAAACCCATAGATGGCCTGATGTTAAGAAATAGGCCGATTCGACTAACATTAATTATCTTTGGGGCAGTGCTAGAGGCCTGCCTCTCCATTTCATTACAGAAGTATCAGAATTTGGTCGATTCCATGGGAAGATGCTGCAAAGCAGTTCTTTCTAACAAGGGTAACGCAACAAAATATTAAAACCATTGTGAAGGATAGATACTCATATTACAACCACAGTAAACGGTATTAAAACAATTTTAATATTTTTGCTTTCAGGTCAAAATGATCAGTGCTATTATTTTTACAAATTATTTTTTCGGAAAATATTGAATTTTCGATACCAGTTTCAATTTAAATGAAATTCGTTTTCATTTTGTCATCATGTACATATACATACGTCTACTTACATACTTTTTTAAATTTTGAATAAAAATACGAAACCTTTTTTGAATAAATAAGATTTTGTTACATATTTAAAGTCTGGTATGCTGGTGATGCTATTATTTTGACAACAGGTGTTTATTTGTATATTATTTACAGTTCAGATGTTGAATTCCAATGTGTTTCCGGGGAATGTATTGATGAAATAACAATGTGTGATGGCATAGTAGATTGCTCCGATTCGTCTGACGAAACGGTCGAATCATGTTCTCATATTGAATGTTCGGATTTGTCCTTCCGATGCGCATATGGTGCATGTATTAGTATAGAACAGCTGCTAGATACTATTTGGGATTGTGTAGATGGATCTGATGAGGTGCAAATAGTGCAATCTCAGCCGGTTAGTTCAGAAGTAGAAGCGGAAAAACATGAGCCAGAGAAACCAGATATAGAGACGTGTAGTATTCCATATCAAAATCCCCATTTGATAACTAAATTAATCAAAGATGGCGTTGAAGTAAATACGGCTCTGAGCTACTATGATAAAGTGTTACGTCATGACTTTGTGAAGTTTGAATGTTCGCCGACCTTTACTTTGATTGGAGCTGAGCGTTTAGAATGCATAAATAATGATTGGTACCGTCAGTGGCCGCATTGCGAAAGTAAGCTTAATAAAACAGCCCTTTATTAATTATAGTATATATTATATAATCGGATCGATTTTTTTTTTTTTTAATAGGACCAGACAATTTAAGACCGTGCAGAGCAAATGAGACGACTTGCGACAATGGCGATTGTATAAATCCAGCCGCACTTTGTAACGGTGTCAAGGATTGTAGAGATGGCTCAGATGAGATACCGCAAAAATGCTTGAATAGAACTTGCACGGAGAATGAATATAAATGTAAATATGGAGCTTGCATACCAAAGGACAATCGTTGTGACAAAAAAATACACTGCGCAGACGGTTCTGATGAGACAACTTTGCTGTGCAGCAGTGAGGATAATTACGCAAAAGCACTTCAAGGCAGCTGTGAGTAAGTAACCAATTTTAAATAGCCTGTATTGCAATTGTATTAGAAAATTATTTGGCATGTGGTTGGGGTTTCAATAATTTTTGAAATTCAAACATTAAGTTTGACTTCATTTTTTTTTTGTTTATTTGTATTGAAAACATTAGTGCATTATGATATAATCTTTTCTTGCACGATGACGCAAGCATAGAACAAATAATAATATTAAATTATAGAAATGAAATTATTAATGAAATTAATGTACAAGCCAAGTAACAAATAATGTATTCTTGAAGAAAGGTGAGCTTATGACCACTATTCTTGATCAATCTTTGACTAAAAGTAATTAAAAAAGTGTAACGCGTTTTTCAAGGGCAATGGAAGAGGTCTTACATTATTTATTACAAAACAGTCTAGATGTGCACAAATAGTTAAACCTAGGAAGAAGAGGATTTAAGGAACGTGTACTCTTAGACAACTAAAGTTTATGGTGCAGATTATCCGGGTTCTTGCTGGAAAATATTTTAATAATAAAAAGGCATTTTCACGCGCTGAAAAAATTTTGCAAATAACTGTTAAATATAGAATAGCGCATAGATGAGAGAAGATCCGGGTTCAAATCCCGGTACGACCAGCATTGAAGTTATAGAAAAATTAATTTAAATAAAAAAACAAGTTAAACAAGTTAAAATCAACACCTGCGATATGCTGCTGAAACGCAACGAGCTCGACCTATTCTTAAGGCGGATGGTGACTGGCGACGAAAAATGGATCACATACGACAATATCAAGTGAAAACGGTCGTGGTCGAAGGCCGGTGAATCGTCCCAAACAGTGGCCAAGCCGGGACTGACGGCCAGGAAGGTTTTGCTGTGTGTTTGGTGGGATTGGAAGGGAATCATCCACTATGAGCTGCTCCGTATGGCCACACGCTTAATTCTACCATCTACTGCGAACAAATGGACCGCTTGAAGCAGGCAATCGACCAGAAGCGTCCACAATTGGCCAACAGGAAAGGTGCTGCGCTCCACCAGGACAACGCCAGACCACACACTTCGTTGATGACTCGTCAGAAGCTACGGGAGCTCGGATGGGAGGTTTTATCGAATCAAGTGATTACCACCTGTTCCTGCCCATGGCGAATGCCCTTGGTGATGTGAAGTTGAACTCAAAAGAGGCTTGTGAAAAGTGGCTGTCCGAATTCTTCGCAAAAAAGGAGGGGGGCTTCTACGAGGAAGGTATTATGAAGTTGCCATCTAGATGGAAACAGATCATCGAACAAAACGGCGCATATTTAAACTAAATCCGATCACTGTAACACTTTTTATAAAGCATTGAATGAAGAGCAAAAAAGCGGAAGATATTTGACAACCTTATACTATTACTATTCCGGCCCCCTCCAACCTACCCAGCTCTAATGCTGGTCAAATGACTTATGCCAACGTAGTAAAAGCCAGTGAGCCGACCCAACCAACAAGTTTTTCCTTCTAGTACTGGAGTTGAAGCCTTGATTCTTAATCTAACCCAGTACATGACACAACCCAGTATATGGCAACCATGCAAAGTATGGTCCAAGACCTGATAAATTAATGAACTCAGGATTTGCCTAAGGAATCCTAATGGTGTAAACCACCATAAATTAGCACTCAAATTATATTTACAGACTCATGAAATTGATATTGTGCTTTAGCTGAAACACATCTCACCGTGAATTGTAATTTTGTACAACACTAATCAGCCAGATGGCACAGCACTTCGTGGCACAACTATATTCTAAAAGAACCGCTTAAAGTACAGTTTTCTTAATTCCTCTTCAACAAACTGGTTGCAGTCATCTTCCTTACCTTGCCTGCGATTTATTGTCCGCAGAAAATCAATTTAGCGACTCTTGTAAGACTCTAGGAGATAGATTTTTAGCTGGAGGTGAGTGACTACAATGCGAAACATATACTATATATATTGGGGTTCGATTTTAATTAAAATAATCCAAAAGGTCGGCAGTTATACAAATCGATCATAAGCATCAGAAATAGGTACAATTTTATTTCACCAAGACAACCAACATAGTGGCCCACAGACGCAAGGAAATTACCTGACTTGATTGACTTTGCAGTCACTAAAAACGTAGATAGGAGTTTAGTACTTGCCGAAACCTGTGCTGACTTATCTTCTGATCATTTCTCAATAACCATTAAATGGGCCGAACAACCAACTGAAAATGAGCATGTTTTTTGACTTGCTACTTCCAAAACTAAGTGGGCATCCGATATTGAAAGCGAGTTACTTGTGTTCAGCAGTATACTAGCAAAAGCAGCAACTATAGCCACACCAGAGCAAGAAACAAAACCAAAAACCAGAACGTGATAACTAACAAGGAAATAGAGTAGTTGGTCCGAAACAAGCGACGTTTACATCGCGAATGGCAAGCCTTCCGATCGCCCGATGCAAAAATCAGACTCAATTTGACAGTAAGCAAGCTAAAAAAGGCATTTAGATACGAAGAGGGAAGAAATCTAAAAATACATAACGTCTTTGTCTCCCAAGGTTTCTACTAACAAATATCTATGGAAAGCTGGCAAAATTCTTAAGACACCAGTAAGTAGTGGAGTAACATGAGACTGCGTTATGCTTCATGGGCCAGAACGGATGAAGAAAAGACGTCTAGTTTTGCAGAGCATCTCATTACTGTATTTCTACTACATACTGCTAAAAATAATGCACCTTTGTCACCGTACAATACTGCTCCTAGATACATTGTGACTTGCGGAGCATCTGTGTCTGAACTAAAAAACATTGCTCCCGCCTTAAATGCCCAAAAAAAAAATCTCCAGAAGTCGATCATACTCACCAAAAAATCTATACGAATTTCTAAACATTGCTCTCGTTTTTCTTTCTCGTTGGCTTTTCAGTGAAAAGTTGAAGCTACGATATCATCCAGAAATATGGAAAAAGTCACAGATAATTATAAAGCTAAACCAGGTACAGACGCAACCCTGCCGTCATCATATAGACTAATTAGGCTGTTCTCTTACCTATCAAACTCTTCGAAAAAGTGCTGCTATCAAAAATTACTATTTATCTCCATTAATATGATATTATTCCTAATCACCAATTTGGTTTTCGGAAAAAACACGGCACAATTGAACAAGTAAATCGTATGACAAATTAAATACGGAAAGCTTCCGAAATGGGAGAGTATTGCTCGGCCGTTTTCCTTGATGTGGCACAAGTATTCGACAAAGTGTAACTCATTGCACAATATCCCTGAATCCTACTCAACCAACAGGCCATTCACTGCAAAATTAAATAATTACATAACAGAAGAGTATCCAGTCACGGCAGGTGTTCCGCAGGGTAGTGTTCTTTAAAAAATATTATATATTTTCTTCACCACAGATATTCCCACAAGTGACAAAGTAATGATGTCAACTTTTGCGGATGATACTGCTATACTAAGTCGACATTAATGCCCCATGACAGCATTAAAGTGTTACAGCAGCAGCTTAAATTAATTGAAGAATGGCTAGCGAAATGGCGCATACAATTTAATGAAAACAAGTGCAAATACATCACTTTTACATTAAGGCCAAAAACGTGTACTACTGTTAAGATGGATGATGTGCCTATTCCACAAGCTAATGAAATCACATACCTTGGCATTCACTTGGGTAGACGACTAAGAAGACGCAGCTGAAGCTTAAATTTTCAAGACATATATAGGCTTTTAAGCCAGAAATCTGCTTTGAAAACAAAATCCTTCTTTAAAATGCGACTATAAAACCGATATGGACGAATGGAATCCAGTTATGGGGTACTGCTTGCGCGACAAATCTAGATATAATACAAAACTTTCAGTCGAAAACGTTGAGAATAACATCAGGCTTGCCATGGTTAATGAAAATATCCATAGAGATCTAAATATACGCACAATCAACGAAGATATTGAAATCGTTAAACAAAAGTACAAAGCAAAACTGCACCACAAACTGCATCTCCGAACGCGCCTGAAGAGCCACATTGAGCCAGCAGCCCATTCCTAGGCAATGGGCTATTATATTTTAATTTAGATTTTAAGATCTGACAATTTATTGTGAGTCTCCTGATAAAGAAGCAGATTCAATAAATAAATACAAATGTTAAAAAAAAAATTTCTTTTGAATTGTTTTTGAGTCTTAGTTTTGTCGAACTGTCTCAGAGCATATTTTTTAAAATATTGAAAAAATTACAGGAACAGATTTTTCGATTACCATTAAGCACCTATCGGAACGCAATACAGAGCTTGGTGGAGAGTTAGTGATGTGAAAAATAAAACAAGTGCACGTCGGTTAACAGCAACTAAGAATACTGCTGCTGTAGCCCGTGGTGATTAAGAAAACCCAGGTTTGTTCATTCTTCTTCGTTCCTTAGAATTGCGGTTTTCACAAACTTCATTACACCGAAGACTCGAAGTTCATGTAATTAAAATGTTGCGAAGCCAATTTCCACACGATGGCGACGTCAATAAGCACAGCTGTCACAGCTGGGGTTCGGAAAACCCGTGTAATAGTTTGATGTGGCTTATGATTCGGCGGGGGACCGTGTTATCTCTCGAAGAGGTGACCGCTATCGAAGAAATCCATAAAAAGGATACGGTTCTGTAAGCGTAACCGTGGCGGTCATTCGGCTGATATCGTTTTCCATTATTAATGGCTTATCTTCCTCTCTACAGTATCTCAAAAAATCTAATTTTTCTTTGAATATCAAAATAATACCTCTTTTTGGAAAACCCGTTATCATGGTTTGACGATAATACCTTGAAATAATAACCATTCCCCATATATCGGTTACCATATATTGAGCAAAACGAAAACCAAAGAAATGAATTCACCGTTCATTGGAATTGTTGCAAATTCGCCAAATGCAAACTCTTTTCACGTACACGTGTATTTAGAAATATTTAGTCAGCTTGCTCTTCTGAGGCTTCAATACTACTAATTTCTTTCCCTTTACAGATCTGAGGATTTGATTCAGTGCCGTTCGAAGGAATGTATTGAATATCATTTAATTTGCGATGGTATACCAGACTGCAGCGATGGTTCCGACGAGTCTGTTGAAATGTGCGCACACATACAATGTACCGATTCCTCTTTTACATGCGCTTATGGTGGCTGTGTGTCCAATTATGTTCTATGCAATGGTGAGGTAGATTGTGCCGATGGTTCCGATGAGATAGCGGAAATTTGCGCTCCGATTGTTATCGAGAATCAAAAATACGAGGACATGTATAATTACGATGATAATGTCAATACGAATATAGATCAATACGATGTAATAAATGAAAAGCGAAATTTTGTGGAAAAGGCTATTAAAGAAAAAGTTGTAACTGTAATAGTTGGGCCAGAAGTCCAAACCAAACCTGTAGTTGTCAACAAGCAAGAAACAATTCACACGGAAATGGCGCAAAAGCGATGTACGATACCACCAAATCGTCCGGCTCTTCGAGTCATCAATGAAGCGCAGAATGTAACGATAAAAGTTGGTGGTCAAGTTAATGCTCATGATATAGTGACCTTCAGCTGCGAAGATACATGGCACTTGGTTGATGGCCAGACTGAAGCTCTGTGCATGTCGTCCGGTGAGTGGTCTACGACTGTACCGAGATGTGAAAGTAAGTTGATAATAAAAATACCTATTTACTGCAATTATCTCTATGTGAATACGCCTTAATGAAATTGCTTTCTTCGTTAGAACGTTGTCTACCGCAATGGAGCGGTATTTCAACACATACTACTTGTTCGTATAAAAATAAATCGGCTGACTGTCAAACAATGCATAGTAAGCCCGAAACAAAGGCGCTAGTAAAATGTGCCACCGGTTATAAGCCATTAACTAAATCTGAAGAATTAATTTGCGACGACGATGGTGAATGGAGTCAACCAAAATTCAAGTGTAAACCACAATGTGTGACTCTATCAGGGGATATGTCGAAAAGAGCCGAAGTGCTTGTAAAAATTTTCAGTCTAGGTTACAAGGGTAGTAATCATCCGGAATCATTTTCACTAAAAAACGATCTCCAATATGGAATGGCATGTATTGGTACCATCATCTCTCCGAAGCTGGTGCTAACTTGTGAGTAGACTTATTTATGAATGAATTTATGAATTTGAATGTATAGCAATTAGATCAATACTGAGAGGAAGATAGTTGTTCATTACACCCGAATCCAGTTCCCCATTTTAGCAATTTGAAAAAGGGATATCTTCATAATTTTCTTCGAACGTCTGCAGGTGAAAATGCAATCAAGTTGAAAAAAGAAAATAACAAAAAATTATTTAAACTAAATTTCACTGTTTTTTTCGATCTTTACGAAAATTTCAAAAGCCGAAAAGTTTGGCAATGAATTTTTTGAATACACACCGCTTCCGAAAAGCTTATGACTTTTATGAGAATCTTGAAATGTTTCTTTTCCTAAACTCCATTATGCTAAATAAGCAAGATAGATAGGACATGTACTCTCTCTCTACGTCCGTCGATGTACAAATATCTCAAGTTCAGATTTAGATATTTTGATAAAACTCGGCACATACACTCATTGAGTAAAAAGTTGTGACAAATGGCTGAAATCAGACTACGTTCACACCCACAACCCATACAATGGATGTTTTGAAAAGTGCGAAAATCTCTATAATGCCGTAAATAAAATTGTAATTTCAATTATAAGGAGAAGAAAACCCAACTTAAGGTTCGCACGGTCTCACTCATTTTTGGTTCAAAAATTATTTCTCAAACTAAATTTGTATAATTTGATACAAATAAATAAATAATTCGCATTTTCTAGTGTGAAAAACGAGTATAATAGCAACGCATCGGGTAGCAACTACACCTTTAGCCCATATACATAAAGGATTTCTTCCTGAAAGATTAAATATTCAAGGAACCTATCTGGAAATGGATATGATAATTACAGAAAGTTACAAAAATCTACAAAAGATGCTAAATTAGTCTACAAAAAATACACTTCCCATATAGTGAGGCTTGAGTCCTTCTGTGAAAGACAGATAACTTAGTGTTCCTTACTTGTCAATATTATTTATGTAATAATAAAAAATAACATTAAATAATATTTAAATGTAAAAATACCATTTTTTGAACAGATCAAACCAAAAATCAATAAGTACTGTACACATTAAGCTAACTATCTGCCGGTCTCTTGTCAGATTACCGAAAAAAATATAGAGTTCAAGCCTGTGTATTTACCATAGCCGAGAGGTTAGCAGCTCTCCAAGTTTCAGGTGTCTACACTTAACGTTGGAGCTGGATTTGTCATTCAGGGCAAAGCATTTTACACTATAACACAAATTATTGGATTTGGTTTATTTTTGTAAATACATTTTACTTTGAAAATGTTCTCTTTTAGCGGCTTTATGTTTCAGTACAAATAAATTGAACAACCGAATAGCTGCGAATGATCCGATTTTATACTCAATTCTTCCGGCAGCCACGAAAAAGGAGAGTTTTGGACAATATGAGCAACCTCCCGGTAGACATAACATATCGCAAATATTTATGTACGTATAAGTATTTGTTTGGTGTTTTCATATCTAAGATCAATGTTTCTTTATTTTTATCATATATTCGTAGAGCGGATAAGGTACTCGGTGACAACATAGACACTCCAGCGATTGCTGTACTGGCCGACTACTTTGTTATAATTCCAAATAAAATAATGCCAATTTGTTTGCAATTCTCAGGAAAATGTTTGAATCATAAAATTATAGAAACTACGGAGGCATTCCTCGAAGGTACCGTTGCATTAAAAGGGAATGACTGTTTTGTTCTTGCCGGTTTAACGAAGTACATATTTATGGATGAATATCAGCAGTGGTTGGAAACGAAAGTTATGCTTCACAAATATATATTGTGAAGATAGGCGAATGCATAACCAATGGCAGCGATAATCTGAAAGCACAAAATTTGATAATTAAAAGTCATATTACTTTCATAATCACATTTTTTATTATGTTCATTTAAAAATAAAATTTACTAAAATAATTCATCTCGAAAAATGTCTTTTGATTATTGAACCTAAATTATAAACAATCTTTCTAGTTTAAAAGGCGATCTCGTATAAAATTAAAAAATTAATATTTAATAAAATTTGAAAGCAAGCTTTTGGCTGAAAAAATATCAGATATATACAAATGTGTAAGGTGTTGTTGGTATTCGTTGTTCATGCACATCCTGAAAAACTTGATAACGATAAAGACCAGCCTTTTTTAAGTGGAGGCTGACATAACCAACTCTGTTCTCTCTGAAAGTGAGACTTCACCGTATATGTTGGAGTGGCAGTCAACAGAAATACAGGAAAATAAAGTGTTCTTTTACCGACACAACAGTCCTTTTAGCATCGTGCACTTAGAGTATTAATGGAACAAATCCATCCAAACATAGTGAATATGACGCAAATGACTAACAGCGATTCCAAATCCAACGCCCCAAAACAGTAATCTTTTTTTTAATTTTCCGGGTCGGCCATGTAGATTAGTTAAATAGCAATAAAATGATTCTTGTTTTAAATTTTATTAAATTTCACCGAAGCTTTTGTGCATTGAAGTTCAGTTTATATAAGAAACTGAAACTAAGAAAGTACCTTCGATCACACGATATATGGAATTCAGAACTTAGGCATACAAATTTTCGTATGTAAACTTTAGTCGAATCGTTACAACTGGACGATAGAGAATGGCTGATGATTGGCTATACTTTGTATATTCTTCACATTCATAAATTGCCGTTTACTACACGGAGAGAAGTATTCAGTAAAAGTACCAGAGTTGCCGTTTGGTGAGATTGGAGAAATTAGTTAAAAGTTAAGGACTCCATCGACAGTTACTATTCTATTCTATTTCTATTGACAAATGCATAAATTTAATATACAACTTTTTACCCAAAAATGTTATAATTGGGCCTATTAAAAATATAATTGATATTATCATTTTTTTAATCTCCTCTGGCATGTCGAAATCTGAAATCTTTGAAAATATTATTGCAACAGAACGACCAATCAAGGGTCAATTATTGAAATTTTAAAAAAAATAAAAGTTTTTGGCTCACAATTTTCATATAAAAATTTTAATTTTTCTTAAAAAAAAAACTCACTTTATCAATAAGAACTTTTCTACACTAAACGAAGGTCGAAGAATATATTAACAATGGATTAATTGAGTTAATATTAATGTGCAATAAAATTAATTTAGTATGTCATTCTTATAGGCATTTTTTAAATTTGAGTGGCCATACGTTTGAAATGTGTTATTCGATTTCATTGCGATAAATGTCTTCTGAGTTTCGAAGTCTATATAGAAACCCCGCCGAGACTGTTACGGTTATTTCTGAGTGTTGTGGTCGCATGATAATTTATATATTTTCGCCGGCACTTCAAGATCCCGACTTGAACAATATGTGGTTTCAAAAAGATGTTGGCACATGCTACACAACGCGGGCGAATTTGGTTTTATTTGCGAGAGAAATTTCCCTCGATCTCGTAATCTTTAGTTTTGGCGATATCAATTAGTCTCTCGCAACTTGACACCGTTGCACCACTTTTGTGGGGTCAGGCACCACCAGAAAGTACTCGAAACTTACCTAAAACGCAAATTGTCAATCGACTAAAGATAGGCCAGTGTCGATTTGTCGAGAGAAATGTTAAAAAAAAATACGACAGCGGTGCTTCGAAGTACATCTGTGACATCGCTAGTTTGAATTTGGAATTACGCCTCTGAGTCCGAAGATAAACCGCAACCGACTGTACGAGTGTATGTTTAGAGATGAGAACAATCCAACTAAAAGTTGCTCGCGCACGTAACACTTCCAAGTCTTTGACTGTTTATTTTTTTCTTTTTCTTTGTAAAAGCTGGTCATGTCGCAACCGCACCACCAGAAGAACGTAGAACAGTAAATTTGTTCGAGCTCTCCCACTTCGACTGAGGTGTCATCTATTATATAGTCCTGACTTGGCACCGAATGACCTTATTATTTTGGTACTTAAAAAAATACACTGGAAAGTCTACGATTTCCGACATCTGAAGAGTAAGTTGATGCAATCAGAAATCAGGTTTTGGAGGTATGTACCTCAATCAGAGTGGCAAATGTAACCTAATGGTGAATATTTTGAAAAACAAGAAAGCGACTTTCCATGATTAATATTTGGTTTTTGCTCCCTAGTCCTGTAATATAAAAATTAAAGGAGCCTCGAAAAATGTACTCTAATTTGGATTTATTTCCTGAAATCAAGATGATTTCCGGAAATCTAGGGAAATGGAGTCCAGTTAGTTTAATTTATGTTTTGTCTGTCTGAATTTTACTTGATTTACTATTTGTAAGCGCGAAAATTATGTGAATTGTGATTTTGTGATGGTGGTTTGCGCTAAAAAAGAGTGTGATGGAGAGCTTAGCTAAGCTGCACCAAATACAAAACACACGGTAAATGCATTTGTTCCCCTTGTCTCACCTTTATGAAATCTAGCAGAAGCTTTCATAAGAAAAATAAAGTTTTAATTTTGTTGTTCGCGTGCTTGAAATAAAAAACAAGATGAAGATAATTTTGGAGAAAGTACTTATAATTTTCCTGATCTATTAGATGGCAAAGTACGGTAAGCCAAGCCAGCTTACTTACAAAGCACAGGAGGGTGACTTAGAAAAACTTGAGCCAACTCCAAATATTCCACCATTCCAGTTTTTCCACACCTCTAGATATTGCAACCTACTCCTCCAAAGTGCAAGGCAAACGCAAAAGAAGTGAGTTAAGGTTTAAGGTTCCATTTTATAACTGCATCTTCTGCAGAAATCGTTAAATGGTACGCCACACCACTCTGCGTAAATGCCCAACAGCATATGTCCTGTAGGAAACCTATAAATGTAGATATCTCCTTTCTATTTACGTGATTTTCTTCCATTGATCCATTCTAGCAATATTGTCTTGGCAGCATTACACGCATTGAGAGACCTCTATTTTGAGTTAGTCACTTCCATGATGACAAAAGAGAAAGGGAACTGCCCTTCCTTACAAGCTCGTCCGACATCTCATTACCCAGTTTGTTATTGTGGCCAAGCACACAGACCAGACTCAAAGAAACTACTTAGCCATCATATTACTGATATGTCTTCCACAATTGACATTTATTTTTGAATGATCTTGTGATTTAACATCGAAAACTTAAGTAATTAAGCACCTGCAAAGTCTTACTGACATATCGAACAAACTCATACAGACGAAAACTAATAACACTTCGCGGTGAATACGCGGATGCTTAAAAATCGATCACACTTAGCTGGAACGCTATATTTTTTAATATAATTTTTTATTAAGAATAATCAATTTCACATTGGCTTCTATCATAAACAACCGCCTTGGATATAAAGTTCGGTTCGACAAGACATAAAGTTCCCTTACATATTTCCGTTAAGCTGGAACAAAGTAAAACGGTGGCTCGTCGGACATTGATATGGTTTCTTCCAACCACGGCGTTATCTGATCGATACCTACGGCAACTATAGGTTGATTTGTGCATTCGTTAGACCGACCTGGCTTTTTACTGATTATGCCAGTTAAGTAATTTTTGCTTCCATAATTGGTGATAACACCGCTTCCACTGTGTCCTTCACACAGCGTGTGATTCATGTTTAGTGTGCGAACACATAATTCGCCTTTCGTGCGATCCGCTTGACAGTTATTGCGTTCAAATTTTAATTGTGTCCTTACAAATATATCACCAGTATGATCATCGTTCTTAGGCCAACCATGTAGGAAAGCTGTATTCTTTTTAGTTCTAGAGCTTCGTCTACCCAAGCAAATGGGTCTAGCATTTATACTCAAAATGAAAGGTTCGCTCAGTTCTAAAACTGCAACATCAATGACACTACAAGAAAAAGAAAATATTGTTCAAAATTCAAAAAATATGAAGTTCAATGTAAACAATACTAAGCTGGGTTGCCTAGAATAAATTAGTTTTAATTTATCTACTTTTCTCTAATTTTAAAACCACAATATTCAGTAAGTTTAATATTTCTCACAATAAAAAGTAATATCATTGACCATACCAACAAATATTCAAATATCGGTTTCTTTTATTCGAGAACCTTGTTCTGCATTTTTTTTAATTGAGCTCGAAGGCCAATCGATATTTTATATTTTTGGTGAATACGAATTAAAATCTTTATTCGAGTATTTTTTTTTTGTTTTTCTTAGAATAATTCAAGAGATTATTTTTTTAACAATTAACTCTCTATAAAGAACTTATTCTTATACAAACCTACCCATCATTAGCAGCAAAAATCTTTGATACATTTTTTTGTATTATCTCAGTTTGGCCATCTTTGAATTCACCTCCGGCTATCACAAAAACCTGTGCTTCACTAAGCACAATAAAGTTTTCATCTACGACGCAGTGCAAAGCTGTAAGTAAAATGATATGTAGAATTTCAGAATCTTTGGCAAAAGATATATAATATGTAAATATGTATCTCATGGACGGAGCCTAATCTAATTTTAAGACTAATTGTTAATTAGAGCCCAAATCACATACCGGAAGAAACAGCTATAGATAATACAAGTTCGGTCTTATTAGTACTGTACGGGTAGGAGTTTCTATTCAATCCTACCACTCGGTACTCCCATGCTATGGGTGAATAACGATTGTGAATATTTTTTATTTCAAAGTACTTTCACAGCTTTAATCACAAACATTTCGGTAATATTTAATATAAAATATAATATTTCTAAGGCCGTTTTCACAATGTCCGATTAAATTAACCTTTAACCGGAGGATAGCCAACCGTCGTCGCTTTCACCAAGTTCTGGTTACTTAACTTCTGATTAATTTGATCATTGTGAATATTTTAAGCAAAGTTTGCTCACACAATTTTCCACACGATATGGTTGAGTAATACTTAAGATTTTCCATTTGGTTTTATATATTTTTTTTTTTTTTTTTTTTTTGAATTTTTATTATGTGGTTATGGGAAAAAATTAGTTATTTAATGAAATTCATTACATATAGTTTTATTTGAGACCTTTGATAGTTTTAAATTGTGTATATGAAATGTATGTAATATATGTACAATATATGGTTTTATTGCACCTCAACTATGTTTTCTTCGGCAACAACGGATGTTTCTGCTGGTTAATTCGCTTGAACTTCTATCTCATCCTTATTAGAGTCTTTCTAGATAGCAAAATTGTGCGACACTCTACAGGCAACAATGATGTTTATAGTTATGCTGAGCGAAACTTTCAATCCATAGCTTCTCGATAAGCAATTTCGAGTACGGATTTGATATTCATTGTAAAGACGTTCAGCCCGAAGATTGGGCTGTAAAAGTTGGCACTTGATGTAGTTGCTGGCAAGCCATGACCACTACCACCCAATTAAAAGAAGTCCCAAAATTCGTTTTGCTCAAACCAGTGGTTCATGTCCAGAACCAAGTTCTTTTTACAAGTACCATTTTCTGCTGCAAAAACTTTCGGCATTTTCTTCTCCAGGTGATTGGATTCAGACATGAGTGTAACATAAACACCCCAACACCTTTGGAGACTTCGCTGTTCGGTGAAATGTGCACATTGTGCTCTCAATTTCCCTGCTTTTTCGCTATTCGGAGGACTGATTGGATCAGTGCCGTGGTTGCAATGGATATTACTTTCCACCCGACTTCGTCATATTCCTAAAAAAATTGCTTTGTGTACGGCACTTTTTTTCCTTATAAATACGCTTCTGAACCAACGCAGCCAAATAGGCGTGCCTTCCATATTTTCCATAATAAAATTTATTTTAGAACCAACACCGGAATATATTTTATTCATTATTTTACAATTTCCAACTGTCAAATTATCTTCTGGTTAAGAGCTAATCGCCCCTCAACGTTGGCGTTAAGTTAACCGCAACCTAATTGACAGATGCGCCTTAACCGGACATTGTGAAAACGTAATTTATGCTACCTTCCGATTAAGTTATAATTAAGTGCTTAACCCGAGATGGTGAAAACGGCCCTAAACGTGCAATTTTTCAAAATAAACACAAGTGTGCACCAAATCTGCCTTAAGTGCAAAAGTTATCAAACAAATAGTCATTGTATTTGCAATGTGGCTGCCGCGTCACCTTGAAATCCCAGCGGTAAAGCGGTGGCATCTCACTCACGGTGAGTTTCTTTCGGTGAGCTTGACTCATCGCCGAAAATCGACGAAGCAGTAGAATTTGTCACCAAAGTCTATAATGACACTATTGAGGCCTCATGCTCTCTATCTATCCTATCTGTAAAGAAAAGACCCAAATGGTGGAATAACGAAATCTCTGATTTAAGAAAAAGAAGCTGAAAACTCTTTAATGAGCGAAAAAAAGGGCTCGTGACCATCTTATAAAGCAAACCTGAAATCTTCCAAAACCTCTATAAGGAAAGGCAAAACGAGAATCTGAGAACCCTTCTGCAGTGCCATTGACGGAAGTGCAGAAGGAAACAGACTTAGGGAAGTTCTATCCAAGAGCTCCGCCATCCCAAACTACAGGGGCTCACAGTGATGCAGTAACACAAAAATAAATAAATTTTTTTTTTTTAAAGAACAAAACTAAAATTTTATGTTAATTAATATTTATTAGGATACCCCTTGCTGTCTTACACTGCTATCATACGTTAGGGCATGGATTCCACTAACATCTAACTTCTTGTAGTCATGAGCAATATTGTTCCATTCTGTTCGTTCCATTCCATTCCATTCTGATTCCGAATCTCATATTTTCGAATTTCTTGTTCCAAAACTGACCACAGCTTCTCAACCACATTCAAATTTGGATTCTGCGCGGCGTTTGTACTATGTGCGGACAGTTCCCAATAAGCCAACTTTGCACAACGTCTGATGTGTGTTTCGGATCATTATCTTGATAGTACCGAAACTTGTCACAAATATTTAATTTTGAGGCATTTCGCAGCAAATTTCATTTTAAAATGTGCTCACACACAGTCTCATCCACAGCCCTGTTGATGAAATCTAAATTTCCAACTCCAGAAGACGACATGCATTCCCATGCCATTACATGCCCTCCACCATGTTTTACAGTGATGCATAAATTTTGTGGTTGAAACACAGCATTTGGTTATCTCCATACATAGCTCTTTCCATCTAAACAAGTTGAATTTACTTTCGTCTACAAAATTTACGGTGTCCTAGAAGCTGTTGTCTTTATACAAATGCTCCTCTGCTAACTTCAGCCTTCCAAAGAGATTTTTAGCACTGACATATGGTTTATTTTGAGCTGTGTTTCCATTGAAATCTGCTTCTCTGAGGATTCTTCGTATGGTTTCTGGGTTACAAGATATTGTAGCCCTTCTTTACCTAATGCGGGAGCACTTAAGTGGAAGTTTTCGCGTATTTCGCGTACAATCCATCCGGAATTACTTTCGTTAAATATATTATTATGAGCCGTTTTAGTTTTATTCAACACGCGACTTTCACGAACATAGCGTTCAATGATATGCTGAACAGTTTCATGACTCAAATTCACCATTTTCGCAATTTTGCGCTGACTTTTACCATCTTTATAATGTTTTAGGATTAATACGGGCACCTCAATACTTATTTGGCGACCCATTTTGATCAACACTCAACCAATGTCAATACTATAATTTCAAAATTATCTTACATTACGCCAAGTGGTGGTTAACAAAACGCCGCCCCTAACGGTAAATTCTTGTGCATCATTTTCGCTCTGAGGTAAAATTTATTACTAAAGTTTGTAAATTACATGAAAAATAAAATTTTTAAAGGCCACATAAAATGTGTATATTTGCCGCTATTAACTGGCATTCTTATTTTTTGGAAAATGTATGTAATTTTTAAATAAAACTTATTATACTATTTCTTACACAGCTGCTGCACTTTGGCTGTGAGCCACTGTAAGTCCAGATTAAAAAAAAAATTAATCTGGTATCATTTGCGCAATTGAGCAACGAACGAGTATCGAGCGAGTGGCGAACTGCTCACAGTGCTCGATACCCGTTTATCCAGAGCTCTAATATATATCCAAGCTTGTTTAAAATATGTAAACTATATACTAAACAAACACGCTTTCAATTCCACGATTTCTCACGAACATACAATATTTTTGATAATAAAGCAATCCGAATTCTTCTTAGGTTTAGTTGCGCGATTTTCGATCCGTAGACAGCCAAGCAGCTTGAACAATTTTTTTGTATCGGAATCTTTTGCTACCGATAGCCATATTTGAGCTTTGGTGATGCCAATCAGTCTTAACTCGTTTAATGTGAGCGTTTCTAATTAAGGGACCAGACATTCCAGGTTCATGACATCAAGTCGTGAAACTTTTAACGGTTGTAGGGGACGGTATCACATCCATGGCATGTTTAATTTTTTCATTTGATTTTGATTTGCCTCTACAAGGTGAGTATAAGAAATTGACCCCCTTTCCTCATATAGATCACAATATTAACAATTGATTCGAGTAGTCGTAAGTACTTTGTTAGAAAATATGAGGAGACTTGCAAAATGAATAAGGAGACAGCACAAATTCTTCGCTAACGTTAATTTTGAAATGGTCAGCAATAACGCGCTGAATAATATCCCCAAAGTCGTCAATCAGGGAGAGTTCTCTGCTTCAAAGGCAACCTTGGTGAGAGAGAATAAGAAAGTTTTAATTCTGATTTGTAAGAGAGCAAGATTCGAAATAATAGTAAGGGAGGATTATTCGAAAATAACTACATCGTGCAATTTTTAGAATAGATAGAATCGGCTAATGGTAACTAAAATATGATATGTATGTTCGCGACTCGATTTTGTCTCGATATCGTTAAAACAGTGCATCACTCGCAAATTGAAGGTCTCGGTGAGAAAATTAACCAATGGTCGTGGTCATCAGTTATTGTCATTTACCAAGAAGAGCAGCACCTCGTCGACTGTTCAAATTATTTTCGCAGGAGCCAATGTGATTTATTTAAAATAATTTAATTTTTATTAATCTTATTTAATATGTTTTGTACGTTAATACCAAATTCTTAATGTAATGACCTTAAAAATTAAGAATATGGCATATATACATACATACATATACCACATTACTCATTTCATGTTTTGGTATTTTAATTATTTCTTGTATATTTATCAATAATTCGTTATTTAGATATATATATATTGTATAAAATAAATTATATCGCTGTAAAACAAATAAATGCTAGCTAAAATTTTCCTTTAATTTTTCACTAATTAATAGCATAATATCATATGAAAAAGTAATGAAAATTAGTGAATCACTTGATTTTCAGTATATTTCAATTCCGAAGTCCGATAAAAAACTTCTCGGTGTTATAACCCTGCAGGGGAAAATATTAGTTTACAATTTTACATCAACTAGTTCATCTTCATCCATATTCCATGTAAGCAACTGGTATTTTTAGTTAATACTAAATAGTTCATTTGGGTATGTTGAATTTCTTATTCACCAAAAAAAAAAAAAACAAACTAAATCAAATAAAATTCAGTTCGGCGGCTGCGAGAATCGAACCGAGACCCTCACGCAACGCAGGGAAGACCTCTAACCACCATACTATAGTTATAATATACAGGAATGCAAATCTGTGCACTTCAACAGGACTTTTTAGGATATGAAACTCAGCCGTGTCATACCAAAAACACAAACAACATGCGAATGACGTGGAGGTGTAAATTTTTTGGTTCACCAAAAATTAAAATTTAAAATTTCTGTTTCACCAAAAATTATAAAAAATAATCAAAATTAAAAAATTCTGTTTCACCAAATATTAAAAAAATAAAGCTTAAAATATAGTTTGCTTCCATCAGGACTCGAACCGGGCGTTTAATGCGCTATAGCGATAACATATTACCACTCTGCTGTTATGACGAAGCAGCCATTAATGTCATTCTGCGTACATCAAAAGAACACAGCAGAGAATGGAATTCAGCTATAACAAACAGTTGTGGCAATTGTTATTTCTCCCGTTATTGATTGACTCCTTAACAAATAACGAACTGGTATTTAACTAGAATTTTTGCATACTAGTTGGTTTTTCCCTGAAGGGTAGCTACAGTGACTACACTTTTTTAAAACAGGACTAAAGCTCAGCCTAATTGCTCTACCTCACTCAATCTCATCTATGTTGTATAGTTTCTTTCCTTCTAGTGACGAAGTTCTTTTTCCGTTAGAGCTCTCCCTCATACTATCTAGACAAAATCATATATGTAGTTCCTCTCTCTCTGTGGCAGGGTTGATTTTTCCTCTTTCCCACTTATACAAACAACATATCTTGTATAAACAAAGTCAAAACACTGTCAACGCCGCTAGAGAAGTTTCGTTTCAATAAAATTTCGCAAAAAAAAATTAAATGCTGAATATGAATTACCAGAAAAAAGGTGTTGAGGACAAAGTAGCAAGCAACTTACATACATATGTGTATTAATAAAAACATAATTAGCTAATATTAGTTTTTCTTAATCCAACTTACCAGTTATAACATTCTTGGGGGAAATAATAGTACCTCCACATGTTCCATTCAAATATGTTTTGACGCCAACATGCCACGGCGCTTGTGAAGCATTCGGGTTAGTTGAACTTTGGGACTCTCCACAAACTGGCTCACAATTCATTTTGTTCCTACTCCATTTCGCATTGGGAAGGCAAATCATCGAGAAAGATTCGTCTCTATAAGGATTTCAAGCCCATTTGGAAATGTATTAGAATCAGCAAAAATTAACTTTCTTATTTATTATAATCCCTATTTGAAGAACTGAGTTTAAGCTTCTTGTGCACTCTGTTATTACTACCCTAGGTTGGACTGGTTGACGCATTGTGTTTACGCGAGGAGCGTAAATCCTTGCATAACTTTTTATTTGGATGTTTGCTTTCTAGCATATATGTATGAATGGTTCTCAAATGATCCGCGAAGGGATACGGCTAAAGTGTTCATTGTTTGCAATGGAATGGACCTTCTAGTGGTCCAGGTCAGCGTCCTCCTACCCATGCTCCTTGAGTAAGCGATTGGCGTCTGCGCAGCGTCAGGTGCCTCCTATGGCATTGGGTAAAGTCCACAACTTTTTGTAACGAGCCTAGTGCTCAACTTGAATACATTTCACATTCTCCCCCACCCGCTTAAACACATTGGGTCTCACATAAAGGATAATCCGAACGATCAAACTGAACTTCTACACTCTATCTTGTGTCTCTAGTGTAAAGAACATTGTTGTTCTTTCCGCAAGTTCAATTAGCCGCGTTGGGTCCTTGGCCATTGGCGGTTGGTAATATTAATTCTTGCGTTTGCTTCACTTCCCTTATGGAACTGACAGGCTCACCTCCGGACTATTTTTCAGAAACTTATTTATCCTTTTAGAGTTGGTGTAAACGTGTTGCTTTTGCTTTCTCATTTACAAGACTTTTGTGGCTCCTCTTAGCGATTTTGTTTCTTGTGCTTTCGCATACAACCGTTAGTTGGAGAACTTCTACTGATTGACGATGATTGAATGAATACCTAGTGTAATATGAAAAGTATGCATATGTATGTAAATATTGGTGTAGTAAAAAGACATCCATTTTATCCAATAGATGGCATTATTTATCTGTATCTCGCTTTATATATCGGAAGACCGATCGGGTTCCGCATGATGTCGTTAGAAAAATAACATTTCGTACTAAAAATGCTTTTCCGACAGTTTTGTGATTTGCTGATTCACAGCGTCAAAGATGGACACTAGCAAAAAGGCAAAAACGCTATATTTTACAGTTTTTCTTCGATAAGTGCGAAAACGCAAGCCAGGTGTTTATGGTCCTGTTACTTTTACAGTCAATTATGCACAATTCGGTTTCATTTAGGTAATTTTTATGTAAAAGATGATTTACGGAGTGGAAGGCCAATTATCGGAAATGTCGATAAAATCATAGTCCAAATGATTTGAATAAGGCTGGATACGAAAAGAAGCTCGATGTATGGGTGCAGCACAAGTTAAGGAAAAGAAAGCTCAAGGACCGAACTCCCATCGGCAAAACTCTGCTGAATTGCAACAAAATCTTCTCGTGACAACCTCAAGTGAAAACGGTCGTGCTCGAAACGCGGTAAGCCATCGGAAACGGTGGCCAAGATGGCAAAACTCTTATCTCGGAACTGTAGTGTCAAAAATTGGACCGTGTGGAGGAAGCAATCGCCCAGAAGCGGCCAGTTTTGGCCAATAGGAGAGTAATTTTGTTCCATCAGCATAGCGCCAGACCACACGCATCGATAGTAACTCGCCAGAAGCTCCGTGAGCATTCACCAAGTGATTACCATCTCTTCCTGTCCATAGCGAAAAATTTTGCTGTTGCAAAATTAGCTTTAATAGAGGCCCGTGAAAATCGACTGTCTCAATTTTTTACCAATAGGAACGGGACAGTTTTCGAACAAAACATCGCATATTTAACATAAATGGTACCATTCTAACCATGATAATTATAGCCTTCAATTTCATTCACAAATAATGGATTTATTTGCACAACACCAATAACTAATGAAATGAAACTTAAAAATATTTGTAATGTATATGTATTTTGTATATCCGAACCTTATGCTTTCTCTTCTCTTGTAGCTGTATGCGCATTGATTTTGAGCGATTGTACCGGGGAGGATATTTTTACAATCAACCGGCGACGAATTTAGCGTACAGGTCGCTGTTGTTGATTTGCTGAAGTATAATATATCTTCATCGCAGTATTCTACAAAGGGCAAATAGAAATTAATAACGCATGATTATTAGTTGCAGTTTGATTATAACTTTTATTTTATAATTTATCAACGTTATCTCCTAACTAATAAAAATAGGGGTCCATGTCGACTTCTCCGTTTAACATCCCGTCCATTTATACAATGACCTCTCAACATGTTCCTCGGGTGCTAATGTTCACCATCGAGTATTACATTAAAACAAATTTATGGTATTTATATTTTGGGCTTAAATAGAAATTCTCGTACTAAACAAGTCGGTTGTCGGTTGGGATATAGTTATAGTAGTACAGCCTAAAAGTACATCTTACCAAAAACTGGGCGACTAATATGTGTACAAATATATGGACAGAGAGAAGCATGGCTACATTACCTTAGCTCGCCATTCTGATCGGGTCATTTCGTACTTATTATATTATAGAGGACAAAGTGCGTATGAAAAGCCGGAAAAGCTGAGCAATAAGAGAAGACTAATGTTAAGAGCAGCACTGAGTTAGTAAATCAATTTTTAGTTTCAGTGAAAGTAGAACTTTCGGATATGACCAAATCGATGTCGAAGGAATAAATATTTCATCATATGACTGTGGTGAAGTTCAAATAGCAATTGCAGTCCTTGGGTTAAAAGCATTAGAGTGGGTTATAAATACATTTCTCAGACACAGGCGTAACTGTTATATACAATAAATTATAATTTCTCTATTTAGAAGGTCTCTTCTGAAATTCTACCTCGACGCCTTTATGGGTTAATAGCGAGTTTTAAGAGCAAATTACCATTAGCAGGCAGAGCTGCCTTGAAGAGCTTAGCTGCCAGTGCAGATTTAGTGTAGCCGCTCTTAAATAGAGTAATAATTGGTAACGTGCTAGGGTAGCTAGTAAGTAGTGGCACTCCTCTAAGTGGGTTTCTCTCTCCACAACTCTAGAACCAAATGCTGAAATAGCTCTTAACGGGAATAACTTGCGGTGGAGAAGGTGTAATTGCCTATGCCGTTAATATTGTTTTCACAAATCCCATGAGAATTGATGCAGGGAAATAAATCCCTTGTAGGGAGCTGTCTTCACTTAGTAGACGAAGATATTAGCATACTCACTGACACATTTTGGTAGCGGTGAATCCCAATTATCTCTTATACATACTACTGTCTTGTTATCAGCTTTATCCTCAAAGAAGAAATTATTTGCACATTTTATAATAATGCGCTGATTGGTTAAGACCCTATCGCCATGTGTCATATATGCATTTGTGTTCTCATTTATAATATCATAATTTGGGTCCCAATCAATTTCACAGCCGTGTGGAGGACTAGGAAGCGCTTTTGTTGTACAAGATTTCTCATCTGATGCATCTACGCAGTCGATCTTTCCATCACATATTTTTCCTCTATCAATGCAAGCTCCATATGCACAACGGGTTTTTTCTTCTGTATCACATATCCAATGTCTACATATGTCGTAACTCTCATCGCTCTTATCATTGCAATCTGCTTTACCATTACAGAATAAATTGTCTAATATATATTTGTAGCTTCCGTCTTCAGAGCTACAGGCCGTTCTATTAGGATTACTGTGAAGAAACTCAAAATCGTATATTTACATAGAATTTTGAAATAGAAAAATAAAAATAAAAAACAAAATTGTCTCTCATTAATCACCTTAATTTTTTGTTGCAATAAAAACTCCACTCATCTGAACCGTCGGCGCAATTCTTTTCTCCATCGCATTTTTGGTCATACGGAATGCAAGCGCCGTAATGGCATTTGAAACTGCTATCAGTACAAGGTGCGTCCATACAAGGGTTCCGATTCATACTTAGCATGCCCTCATCGGCGCCGTCCTTACAATCTGAATAGCCATTGCATATATAGCTACAAGAAAATTCTTCATCACTATCCCCGCGACAAGTGAACCCGTCTTCTTCAATGCAGTTGAAAATATCTGAAACTGATCAACAAATTCACCATTTACAATTTTTTTAGCAAACAACTTTCAAAAGTTCTTATGTAGAGTTTAGGAATAATGAGCTAAATTGAACATTTAATTGCGATAGTAGGCTAAGGGCTAGCATGTGCTGAGTACCCAATAACCAACTCTTCCCAATAAGCCTCAAAAGCATGCAAGGTGAAAGCTGCACATTTGTCGGTAATAAGCATATCCGTAAATGAACTAAGTGAAATGATTTCAGTTTTTCAAAACAAATTTATTGTTTATTAGAATGCACTTCATGTTAATATTCCATCATATAAAATACATATGAAATTTGGTCAGGAAATTATCAGCTTATTTAAAAATCTGCGAAGACACTAGCAGTTGGCAACAGTTCTCCGTTGCAAGCAACGACCATTACTTGTGACTACATATTCCTCTTCCAGTTGGGTACGGCTGGGAGGTATGTAAAAAGATTAGCGCTGTATTCAACTGTGCTTCGATAAACTGACTATTTATGACTGTATCTTAACTAAAGTTTACTCTGAGATCCGGCTCGTTTTCTCCGAATCCGTAGGAGAATCACAACTGCCGCCTCACGATGATTTCTAATACAAACATTGTCTTTTACTCTTTAAATTTTCAATTAGCTTGTGTAAAACTTTATTTTTCAAATGCTTAGGAAATCGAGATATTCACATATTTTAATTCAAGAATATGAATTTCATTTAACGAAATTCTTCGAAAGCAATGACAATTTGTATATAATTGTGTGAGCAAGAAAATAAAATTGCTTGTTGCTAATTCTGAAGCCAATAATTTCCTAAAATAGTTGCGATTCTGAGAAATTCCGTCATTCGAAATTGCAACCGACAAAAATTAAGAAAAAGAACAAAACGGAAAGCGATAAGGATTCATTATAAAAATGATGGCCATCTTGAGGTGTTCAGTGTGTTCCCACTGTAGAAGAGGTTGAATTTTTAATGAATTACAATAAAAATAATAATAACATTATTGGTGTATATAGAGTTATAGCAAGGTTTATAGAACAGAAGGTGACGATAAGAACGAAATCATATGTTTAATGACGAAGTTCGTTCAATTTGGTGGGTTGTGGAAGATTTTAAAATAAATTTTCATAATTTTAGCTATAAATAACTTAAGGTTATGACCATAAAATTCTAAGGCGCGGGGTACCTTTGTGTAAGACTCTTATTCAAATGTGGTAGTCTTCACCCAACTACGCCTTGCACCTGGCTCATGTGTCAAAAATGGCTAAATTCCTGGCCGCGGTGGCGTTACCAAAGAAAATATGTGTTTTCTTTTGTATAAGAAAATTTTTCCCATAACAATTTTTTTAGCATCAAATATGTATATATATTTTTTTTTAGGAAAAAACTACACCGTTCACAATGTACGACGCAGTTGATTCGGCAACGTCAACGGTTATCGTAACCTTGTATTCTATAAACCTTGGAGTCATAGTATTTTTTTTCTGGCCTACCTGAGCCTATTCGCCCTTTAGCTTTTTAACAAACTTTACATTTTTACTTTTCTCAGTTTCCTAGGCATTTGCGTCTACCTAATTTTTATATATGTACACGTATGCATTTAAAAAAAATCTACCTTGAATTATACACTCTGCTTTAAGAAAAAGTATCAACTCACATTTAATATTTTTGAATTTTCTGTGGACATGTGAGTTTATGTAAGATAAGCGATTTCATTAAAAATTATTTCTGTGCCTCATTGAAGGGCGAAACAGATGCATACATACATACATAAGCATGTGCATGTGATTACGCATTTGCATACTAATAACACTTCATAATTTACAAAAACGTTTTCTTTCTCTTTTTCATTATTCTTACCATCAATACAATAACTACAATGCACAAAATATATTATAATCACAAACAAAAATTTGCTCAACATTTTTAATCACAATTTCGCCACGTTGAATTTAATATTTCTTGAAATTAATATCATTACATTTAATTTCGTGTCCGCATGGTATGGAGGCCGATATTAAACTGAGCATACCGAGGATGCGAAAATTTTATTATTACACGATAAACGCTTTGTCCGATACTTAAGGCTGATTTGCATAAAACTTGCTTAGACTTTCCTGATAAATTGCACTTCGAGAATGAAACAGAGCAAACTGTTGTACATCGCAATAAAAAAATTGCCTAAACACCCTAATGCCCTGAAAATAAGCAGGGCGTGGCAAAGTAAAGTAAAAATAAAACAACAACAAACAAATTATCTAACGAGAAACATTTAACAGACAATATTAGAGTAAACTCCAGTAAACAAAAAAAATATATTCTCAATGCAAAGAGATCACATAAAATATTTAACGATAAATAAATATACACTCATCTGTTGCTTAACATATATACATCTAATTGAAATTAAAACATTCGAAGTAAATGAAAACTAAAATTTGCTTACATACGAACATAAAAACATAAAACCATAGATAAATAATAATAAATAGATGCACCAATCACGAAAACCAAGAGCTGCGAAGAGTGAAAATCTGAAAATAGTAACTAATAGTTTTCATCTTTTCCATTGGCGCGAACACCGCTTACGCGATTACAGCCGAATCAACAATAGCGCGCCATTCCTTCCTCCCTACGATATTTGGCGCCAGTTGGATATTCCAAGTGAAACCAAGTCGTTCCACCTTCCAACAGAGTGGAGGTGTCACTTTCCCTCTGCTTCCCGCCGATTGAAGCAGTATCTGCGTGGAATACTTTCAAAACTGGAGCGCTTTTATTCATCCTCCGTTTCTTAATTCTCTGTACTAACAAACCCATTTGCTTGCCTCATTTCGTTGTCAAGTTTAGAGGAGGTGGAACTAACGGTGTGATTTGTTCGCTGTTTCACCCTCACAATTACAATATTTGCATTCAAATTCAAATAGTCAAACTATTGTACTTTTGTATTTCGATTTTTTGACATTTTTTCAGGTAAGCATATGTACTTACATACGTGTATGTATTTTACTAAAATTAGATTTGCATTCAAAACTCGTAAATTGAATTACTACGGACACATTAAGATGCTTATGCGCAACAACATTTTTTGGTGAGTTTTATTCGTTATGATTAATTGTGTTCCATGAACCAAAAAAAAAAAAAATAATAAAATAAAAAGAGATAAAAGTGCAGTGAACTTGCATATGTTTTCAATTAAGCAAAAAACCAATATTTTTATATAAATACATATATATATTTTTGCTTTCATTTCAGGTTTTCTCAAACCAAAACATAAAGGAACATCGCCAGAGAGTTATCTAATATATATTTATGTATATATATGTGTAAATAATTTGAAATTAATGTAGATTTATGTTTATTTTAATGTAAACTTTTTTATCTTTATATTTTTCTGTATATATAAATATACATACACACAAAAAGAAAACCAAAAATTAAATTACAAGAATTTAAAAAATTAAACATTTGTTGTGACGGTTAATTATCAAAAGAAAGGAACAAATAAACACACCTGCGCGGGCTGACAATGAGTATTGAAAAAGGATAGCTACATGTTTTCTGAGATGGGTTTAGAAAATTTTCTCCATAAATATTATACGATGGACTTGCTTACCGTTTAATTATTTTCATAACATTTTCGCTAAGATAAACATATTTGGCTAAACAGATTTTTTATTTAAATATAAATATTCTCCAACGTGTCCAAAACTGCATACTCTGAAGCGTAAAATTATGTCGTTGAGCTGCAAAAAATTCTGATACAACAATTTTTGAAAGGTTTCAATACTAACTGGCCCAACACTTGATTTGCAACTCCTCCTTCTTTTACAGAAAAAAGCACGCAGCATTTACAGAGCGCCCCATTATCTTTGGCTGAATAAGCTAACCAGGCATATTTCTGCATCTAAGTGCTTTGGAATTGTAAATTTCGTGGTACGGTTGAAGGAAACTTGAAGGTATTGCAAGGAATACAGATCTTATCTCGAAGCCCAACAAGATCCAATTTCATATTTATGAATGGATACTGTAGAATTCGACGTAGAACTCACTGTAGCTTCACGACGATCGTCCAACTAAATTGCTAATGATGAGAAAAATAAATATTTATCTGAAGCGCATAATCTAATTTTGCTTTTTGAGTGACATATTTCAAGGGATCATAAACCAAGTTTGGTTATTAAATTGAAAGTATTCGATGCAGTACCCGCTGGTAGAAGCAGAGGAAGGGGAAGAGGAAAACCTTCACTCCGTTGGAAGGATCAGGTGGAGAGTGACCTGACTGCACTTGGTTTTTCCAACTGTCGCCAAATAGCAAAAAGAAGCAACGAATGGCGCGCTATAATTAAATCGGCTATAATCGCGTAAGCGATGCCAACGCAAATAGAGAAGAAGAATTTATATACTTATATATATAATTGGCACTTTGTAACCGCTAAAGCGATTTTCGGCCGAGCTCCTCCTCCAATTTATGCTTTTGCGTCTTGATGTTTTTCCAACAAATTGAGAGACCTACAATTTATACTAAGCCGCCTCCCCACGGCTGATGGTTTATTATGAGGAGCCCTTACTTCATGTCGGATATACATGCAGAGGGGTTGACATTCCACGCCGAGGCGCGACCTCAATCAGAAAATTTAACTTAATTTTTAATTTAATTTCCTTTAACTCTTGGATAGTGGCCGTACCATTGAGCAATTTAAGGATGAAAAATAAAAAAAGTGATAACTTTTATGGTATTAGAAGGGAATTGGGAAAATAATTTTGATAAGATTTCCATGTTTTCTTCATAAAAATTAAGGGCATTCTTGGATAGTGAAAGCTTTTAAATTAAAAATCATTTTTTTTTTATTTTTGTTAAGTTTTTTTATTGACTCATTTATATAATATAATTATGTATGCATATGTATGTATATGTGTAATCTTCCTGTTGGTTTTTATTGATGAATTAATTTAGATTTTTTACCTTTGCGTTCATTGTATTTATTACATTATACTTACATACATATATAAATGTGTATGTGTTTATGTAAATATTCATTAATAGATATGCAGTTAAGCATGAAAACATACATATACATCTCTTCGTAAAATAACCACACATAGCATTATTTTATTATATTTATGCATTTTATTTATTTTTTGTTGTTCTCAACTTTTTCAGCTGTAGAGTTTATCCATATATGTATGTGTGAATATACCCGTTTTTATGTACAAGAATAATAATTAAATAAAGGATTGTGCATACCTACATGCAGTTATAATCCAATGAATCTAGCACATACACGTTCTTATGCATGTATGTATGTATGTTATACTTGTAAACATATTTTCAAACTGTGCAAAGACTTTTCTATGACTTAAAATTAACAAAGTATTTGTGATAACAATTAAGTGTTTCATAAATTTATTTTGCTTGACCCTCCACACTTGCACATTGTCGCTCTGTATTTATCTGCATTTCTTGTGTTGCTTTGCATTATATATACACGTATGTGTTAACATAAAACATATACATGGTTTTCACGCATTCTCTAACTAACTACATACATACTTGTACATACATACCACATATGTAGAGGGATGCCCACTATTATAGAATTTTAACCAAAGAATTTTTTGAGCAAAAGCATTGAATTTCATTTTGGCAAAAGTATAGCCGCTTTTATGCAAATAACTTTGTTTGTTTGTTTTAGCATAGATACATTATTTTTTATACTAAATATACTATATGAAAACATACATGCATGTGTATGCGTATATGCCGGATTGCTGGCTTCAAGCTGTGACATGAATTTAGAATATCTCCCCCAACAGTGTTCTTTAGATTTATTAATGTTTATGTGACAAACCTAAGCATAACTCTAGGCTGGCCAAAAATTTGAGCATACTCGTACATGTTCCTACATATGTATGTGTATTGAATTAATAAAGGAAGTATTGAAGTATTAGCTGCGGGTAGTAGCTGTGATCGGAATATCGCGCTTTGTAAGGTGATATATTTATATTATATATATTAAAAAAAAACATACTTCAGTATATGTATGTATCATTGAAATACATATGCACATGCATATGTGTCGTATGCAAAAGGAAACAAAATTAAAGGCATTCAGTGCATGTTATTTTGTAGTCTTTCAAAATTCTGCCTTTATCGAAGGAGAGAAATTAATTCTAATTATCATAGTCAAATCGAATATAATAAAAAAAATATTACAGTTTGAATTGGTTTAAGTTAGTTAATCAAACCAAAATTGAGTAATCTCATTAAATGTTTTCTGCAAAGCAAATACATATTTATATATATATATATATATATATATGTAAAGAATGATTTTTTACCTAGTATCTTTTAGACAACACTGGTTCAAACAGCTTACGCACGTTTTGTGTTTTGTGTCACTGACAAACATCTTCAGTTTGGTCTATACTTTAACTATGAATCGTCTTACAAACGAACAACGCTTGCAAATTAGTAAATTTTGTTATCAAAGTTCTGTTAAGAAAGTTAGAAGAAAAAAAATTTGTTCAGCGACAGAGCTCATTTTTGGCTTAATGTGTGCGTAAATAAGCAGAGTTTTAGATTTTGGAGTAAAGATCAGCCAGAACCACTGCAAGAGCTACTAATGCATCCAGAAAAAGTCACAAAAAGTGGTACGGTTTATGGGCTGGTGTCATCATTGGACCGTACTTCTTCAGAGATGATGAGAATTAACGCCTTTAGACTATTTTTTAGCACGGCTGTGTTGAATCTAATGTCTCTACAGACAACCCACTACAATTGACGTAGTGGAGGACAACATTGACAAAGCATTTATTCTTGAGATATCGACCGATGTGTTGGAAAGAGTATGCCAAAATTGGACTATTTGACGACTTTGAGGTGCAGTCACGGTCAACATTTGTGTGAAATAATCTTTAAACATTAAATTATATGGACCGTACTATCGATTCAAATACAGATTTCATGCATTTTTCTGAATTTTCTGTGTTTATTTTTAAACTTTCCTATAACTCTTAAAAAATCACTCTTTATGTATATATTTATGTATGTATGTTGTCGGCAAGAGCACAATAAACATTCTTTGTTAACAAAAATATGAAGTAAATTAAACAAAATATAATATATATATATATATATAATATTTTTTAATGTGTCCATTTTCAAGTGATTTAATTTGATTTATTTACTATATGTTGCAATGTGTTTTGAATTTTCAATGTATGGCTTACGTATAATTTAGGTTCATTAGTAAATACATACATACATTACCACACCAACAAGTTTGTATGCATTTACATAATACATACATACACAATTTATTAAGTGTTGATAATTTTTTTAATATATTTTGTTAATTTCTCTCTTTAGTTATAAAATAAATGTGATATGGCGCTTACAACTATACCAGATATTTGGCCAGGTTATCATGTCCATTTAAATTTACATATAATCAGCGGCTGACTATTGTAATTCCATTATAAGCCAATATAATATAGCCTAAGGTTGTGGTGTGTGCAAAAATAATACTTGTATTGTTTATGTAATGAAGAGATTTTTTGTAAATTTTTGTCAGCAACATATTGCTGGGGGAGCATTGCTGTTTATTTCTAAGCTGAAATAATGATTCTTTATTCATTAAATCAATATCTAGAGTATCTGTCATTCATTTGTTTTATTACCGACATTTTTAATTATCTTACAACTATCAAATTACATACATACATATATGCTCCACTTTTTTATACAATCATATCTATCAAGTACATATATATTTTTGGGTTTTCAGAATCCTATGTATATTTATCATTTAATGTATGTATGTACCTTTATATTTTTATATTTATTGTACTGCTTACGGTTCGGTATCTGTTTCGGCATGCGCACTCACAGCTATGAAGATTAAAGATTAAGCATCCATTACATCAGTATGTATGTATAAATATTATGATATTTCTATATAGGTTTGTATTGTTTGTAATGTAAAGTACTACATTATCTGTCGATCAACGCAACACAATGTGTATGTATGTATGTATAATTGTTTGATTCAAAATGTGCATGAGGGCGTATATAATATATGTATGTAAATATGTTTGTCTATGTGTGATAATATATCTCAAAGAGCTTCTAAAGAAATCTGAGTAATTAGTTATGTAAATGTATGTATTTAATAACGTTAATTGTGCAAATTTTGAGCTTTGCGGTTTAGTGACAGTTTGCCAAAAGGAAATATATATGTATATATATATATATATATATATATATAAGTGTATACTCGTATATATATATAAAACATATTAGCAAAAATAAAAACAATATTTCCTGTAGCTTCGTAAATAAGAAGAAGCAATTACTTCAAATTTCTGCGTCTCGGTTCGAATTTCCATATGTATGTATGTGTTGAGAATATCAAAACCTCGTGCCATTGCTAATGGCTTTCAATTGAAACTCAAAGACTCACTCAAAGACCTCCATAATATAATATGACCAAAGCGATAATTTCTAACAGATCCATACAAATAATGATCGAAGCAAAAAAACTTTTCAGCAAAGATTATTTTTTTAATTAAAAAATTTTGAAACTCTTTTGATAATTTACGTTTTGTGTTAGCTGGTAATAAAGCTTGCTTGTGATGCATTTACATACCTAATATCCATTGAAATTACTTTAAAACTCGACAACTTACTATGTATTTTGTATATAAATACTTATGTATGTGTGAAAGTTTAATTGAGTATTCAGTGTTTAATATATTTGTATATTTTATTTAATACAATCGATCGATTCAAATAATACTTTCATCATAAAAATAATTAAAATATATATATATATATATTTGAATGATTTGGTGTCTTCGTTTCCAACAGCTTAAACTTGGTAAAAAAAATGTATACTTAACTAAAAATTTATTTATAAATGAGTTTGCAAAATTTACAGAAAATCTTTTACAAAAATAATGGTAGATTAAAAGACATTATTGAGTAACTAATATGTTTTTTCTTCATATACATATATACAATTTGCAAAAATATTCTATAACATTAGATTTTTCTACGAATTGAACTTAGTTTGTCACAAATCCATTTTCATTTATCTTTTAAGGTTTAATTCATTTCCCTTTATTTCAATTATGTGCACTTATGCATATATATGAAAATGCTTTGTAGTGATGCAATTATTTATAATACGTATATATGCTTATGCTACACTGTTTTTTCATATTTAATTTTATTTTCCTGTTTTATTATTTTTTTTTTTTTTTTTAAGAATGCAACAAAGCGCGCCATAAATACCTTTTCCAGCCTTGGATAATTTCTCTTTTACTTTTACTTGTTTAATACTTTGCACATTCATTGTTTCTACCATTGCCTGTACATATACATGTACATATGTGTGTATTATTTTCAAATAATTATACACGTATATATACATACGTATCCTCGTATTTCTTTCATATAACTTATATAGCAGGTTTCATATTTCAAGTATAAAATCTGTTCCCACCACAGAAATACATTTTTATCTTTCAATATTATCGGAATTCACTTCGCTTTCCCCCCACGTGGGCTTTTCAGCTATTTAGCAATATCCATTGAATCGCCTTACTCGTTTAGTTTATGCCACTCAGCAATTTGTCTTCTTGGTGAATTGCATACCTCATTCCAATGGTTCAACGCTGTGCCTCCAGAATTGGGTCCGCCAAGCTCTAAACGTCCAATAACCTGTTGAAGTTGATAAAAAGATTACCAAAATATTATAACATTGCGATTGATCTTTGTATGGACAATAATAAAACATACTTCATTCTTGGTAACACGATCCCAGTCTAAGAGCATCAACTCCAACGAGACACCGTCTAGAGTGGCACCAGTTCCCTGGTAATAAAGGTATATACAGTTCAAAATTTGCATTTTTGCCAGCAGTCGTATGAAAAAAAAAACATTTCATTATGATATTAAATAAATAAAGGATGCATCGAAACAACAAAATCGTCCTGTTGAAATATTCGGAATATTATCATTAAGGTGGTTAATAAAATAAATTCCACTGTTTTTCTAGCCGAAAAGAAATGTAATCATAGACTTTGAACGATAATTCTGCACCATTTCAACATTAATGATTTCATTTCATTTCGTTTAAATTTCGTAGCATGAATTTTGCTCATTAACGAAACGTATTGGTAACCCATTGTTCGTAGAGCGGCTCTGAGTTATATTTATTTCACACTCTAAAATCATCATCTGAAATATGTTCTCGGATATTAAAAGGTATCAAAGTGCGTTTTCTCGTAAACTTAACATTTCTTATAGCAGAGAAGTATTAGCTTCGGTTTCCACGTTATAAAAATAAATTTTTGACCCGAATTTCATTAGATCTCGTTTCCTGCTCATTTCCTCTGTCGAAATTTCCTAAAGTTCCCTAACATTTTAAGGTCCACAGATCAGTTCTGAATAAGGTTCGACAACAATATATTTCTATCATATTCAGTTTCAATTGTATTTACTTTAGCACAGATATGCTCAACAAACGCAACTATATCATTCCGTTTCGATGGAAAGAAAAATTAACTCAACGAAATGAAATCGGTAACTTTTAAGCCGCATAAACTCATCGTTATCGTTCAATTTAGCGTTTAACATCTTAACGATTTAACATTATCGACACCTTTTCGGTTTCCAAATGTTTTAATCGAATTTATAGAATTTCTTCGATCAAAGATAAGTTTTGTTTATTGATCTGCTCTAGGTTACCCCAGGCTACTCTATTTCCAAAACTGTGTTTCATGAAAACTTTTTGCTCTTATTTGCTCTACCTTTTGTTTCATGAGTCCGCTCTAAGCAGAAATAGAGCAACTCAGATCACAATTTTCGGCTCTGACTTCTTTGTTAGCGTAACTCGGAGCAAGCAGTAAAATTTTTTTTACAGACGAGTTTAGAAAACGAAACCGGGCAAAATGTAAGAATGTTCACGGGTCACAGCAAACGACTTAAATACAAGTGACGATAAAAATTATTAATTTTACGAATATATATATGGAAAAATCATAAAATTTTTATACTTTGTTTAAAACAGGAAAGTTAAGCATTCACATTTGAAAAATGCTTAATAAACTTTTTGCTCCGAGTTGCTCTAATTTGCTCTATTGTTTTTTTGGTAGTTGCTCTATTCTGCTCGAACATGAGCTGCTCTACTCTGTTTTCAGACTCAATAAACAAACCAATATATTTGTCGTTGCGATGCAGTTTTGCTTTAGTATTTGAAATTATTGAGATTAAGTTTTAACCACAAGGTCAGCCATTGTTTAAGCATGCATCATCCTACGCTCAATCTTCCGAGCATACTTTTAGGCATTAGCTTATTGCTTCCTCCCATTTGATGTACTTATGCATATATACATACATGTGCATGTGTGCATATGTGTGTATTCATATATGCATACATACATAAATACTGGTACATACTCGAAGGCTTACATTATCGCCAACACCAGGAGTTCCAAGAATTCCACGGAGCACCCTCTCGCTCCACAAAACTTTGAAGAGCCAAGGTGCTAAAATAAATGCATCTCGCAACAAATAGAATGGTTACTTTGCTACATCTCTAAATTTCCCAACCGGAGCTCAGACCTGAGCTTATCCCAAAATCGCATCGCGGTCCATACGTGTGGAATTATCCTGTAAAATCTTACTAAACTCACCATCAAAGATCGACCATCCTCACCATTTGGTTGACATCTTGGCCTCAGCAGTACGTCAAACTTGCCCAAGGAGCAAGGATTTACCAGCTTTGTAAAGAGCTAATGAATCCAAATGATTTGTTAACTGATTTACCTTAGCTTAAGTAGCTTAAAGTCAAGTTGCCAAGACAAAAATGGTCTCAAGTGCCTTTAATTTTATGCGTAAAATATCAATATTGAGCAGAGCTGATCACACGTTGCTGTAGCTTGCATTTGTATTTCGTTGAATTGGTATAATAAAAAAATAGTTGTTAAAGATTGACTTTAATCGATACGAGATTTTGTATTTTTTTATTATTGATCTATCTGCATATTATGGTTTCGTGAATACCTGAATTATGCCTTTTCTTTTTCTTTTGATTTTTTTTCTTGATTTATCTCACGAAAACTAATCGTTACATATACGTAGTTATCTCTGGAAATAATACGCAAAGTATTAACTTAAGTCTTCTTCGGATAGTAAAATCTTCTACGCAAAGGCAAATCAAATTCACCAACGGATATATGATTCGGCAACACGGGTTTAACACGTTTTCTTTTTTACTATACAAAGTTTTACAGTTAGGTCTCACAATTTGCTTTCACAGCAACACAGTTGCGAACGCTAAAGTTTCTCAAAAAAAAGTGTCTTTAAAATACTCACTGGTTGCCAGTAACAGCTAAATTTTGATCGGTCTTATAATATTGCAACAGAGTGTATTTGGCCACAGTCGCGTCTTTATTGAAAGGGAAAATTTTTTTTATTGTCCTATCGATGATCAGCGATTTTGTTTAGTTTCATGCAATAATTTTAGAGCAACCTTCGTATTTTTTTTATATTCAGTGGTTAGAAGTCAATATTATTTAAAACACAATTTCGCTATTGGATATTATGAAAACGTCTCATTAAGAAGCATTACGTATTATGCAATTTGAAAAGATAAGTTCCATCTTGAAATTCAAAATTGTACAATAAAAGTGGTAATTGCTTCTTCCAAAACTTAATATTTAGAGGCGCTGATTAAACACTGTTTTGCGTTCGAAGTATCAGATTTAAATGCAATGCTTTAATGTGCATACCAACACTTATGAAAAAGCTTTTGGTTACAATTTCTTCCATAATTTTTTCAAATTATCATGACGGACTTAGTGTTGAAAACCGGTATCTTTATGATGTACAGCCAGAAGCAGCCGAGTAATTAGCACGGCGTGCTGCCATATGGGAGGCCAGTTTGGGTCCTGGTTCGACCAACATCCAAAATTATGAGTAATTCATTCTTCTTATTGGCAAAATTCATGCCATAATATAGACGTATGAATAATCAATTTGGATATTTAACAAGCCTTGATCTGGCAGAGTAACGTTTGAAATAATCCAAATTTTAAACAAAATGGATAATTGTATATCTCACCAAAAAAATATTTTATTGAATAACAAAGCTATAGCTATAGAAAAATAGAAATTTGTTTCATATGATTCATGGTCTTGGTGCCGCATGAAAACCCATTTCAAGTACATATAGGCCCAAACCTGTGTGGCTCATTTATATATTGATAATTATATTAAGAGTTTGACTTCTTATACCGCAAGATTTGTGGAAGGTTTAATCTTTCAAAAATTGATTCGAAAGAAGTATGGAAGACCCGGGAAATAAGCATGTATTTTTCATGCATTAAAAAGTAATCTTATTTGAAAGAAAAGTGATTTTCAGGAAATTGCTGGTAAATTTTCCTCCCCTTTCTCCTAAAATTCGAAAACACAACGTTGAGCCAAGGCAGTGCCAAAGTCTTTTCACTTCACTTCAACTGGTTATTCTTATTTTATCATGCTTGTACCCATGATACAATAATTTAAAGGTAGTTTTATTTTCTCTACACAGTCGGCTTCATAGCCATCTGAAATCTTAAATTTTTAAATAAAAAATGTGCAGAGAAAATCACGTGATTTTTTATTTTGCAATATGTTAGAACTTTAGAAAATTGTAATATAGTATCAAAAAGGGTAGAAATTCACGCACCAAAATTTAAACCGAATTCAAGATGAGGAGTTGACTGGTGATTTGGTCCATCTCACAGGTGTTGAGATGTTTCAAGGAAAGCAGATAGGATATTGTTTTAACAATTGTAGGTTTTTTGAGTCAGTTAGTTAGTTAAACAGGTTGCTCGATATTGGTTCTTTGAAGAAGATTCCTCTCACTTTTCCAGATGCTCTAACCTCTTGGTTTATTTTGCCTAGAGATGATTGCTATGCTAAGCAATCGGGAATTTCCGATAAATCCATTTGCCCCCACAATACAGTGTCCGGGTAATACGCCGGTTGTTATGTCCATAAGGAGTCCTGTTTATAAGGAGTAAAGACGTAGTTCTGTTCACTTCGATCAATTACACGTGGTTTCACTCTGTCATCTGCTGTTAGCCCTTCTGGTAAAGAGTGGTCTTAACAAATACTAAGCCTAATTTGTTCCCTATCCGGTCAGCTCACTGACCCCGCAGTTGCCTGGGGTGTCCCTCTGACCAGGTAGTCAAACCAGGGACATTTCGCATATAGTCTTAAGTCTAAGTTTGAAAAAAGGTAAAATCTTTTATTCATAACAAAAAGCATCTAACAAATTCTTTTCTAACTTCTGCTTAGGAATTAACCCCAGAAGTAATTAAAAAATTTCCAAATTAAATATTTTATAAGTGTCAAGATCAAACACGTTTAGAGTAAAAAATTACGAAGTGAAACTACCTTTTAGAATTTTTGTATCATGTGCTCAACGACCATCGTAAAACACTCTGTATATTATTGATGCAGGACTATTTCAAGGAAGTTTTAAGGTAACCGAGGAGCAAGAATATATGTCAAAGAAGTTTACTAGGCTTATATTATTTGGAAATCAATAATATCGATGATGCATATGTGTTATTGTTACATTGGCTAAAAAAGTTTCTAATATTTGTTTTGTCGATTTTTATAAAATATGAAAATGGAAAATAAATATTATTATACTTATACAGTAAATCAACTATTTGATCACATACCATTCCCAAATACTACGGGTGCTCCATATTTTATGTCGGTATGAATAACTTTCAAATTTACCAACCGAGCGATCGCATCAGATATTTTTTTTTGGAAACGTCAATTCAGTACAATTTTTGGCATGGATCACCTCACACCGAAACAACGCGCTGAAATAGTGACACTTTACATCGAAAACAGCCGTTCCATTGTGTTAACTCAACGTGCATATCGGAAAAAATATCGCGGCAAAAAGGCACCATCTGACAGATCGCCTGATTTAACCCCCTCGGACTTCTTTTTGTGGGGTGATCTGAAAAGCAAGGCTTAGGCCAACCAGACTCAAACTATTGAGCTCAAGGCTCGTGCTGTAATCGACGCTATGTTCGGATAGGTAATGGCAAACGCAGAAAAATTTAGTTATTTTGTAATTGCTAATAAAGGTAGCCACTTGATTGGTATTGTTTTCAAAAACGTGTCAAAAAATTTTGTTTACATACCGACATAAAAGATGGAGCACCCTGTATAACAAAAATAGTAATGATATCTAGCACAGCGGTAAAAGCATATTAGAATGATCAAATCAAAAGTTTGATGTGAAATCAAATCATTATCATCATATTGATTAACATCGTAAAATGCAAATTTCAGCATAAATTAATGAAAATATTGCTAATTAATTTGCTACACTAATCAATAGGCAACTTATCAGCTTATCTAATGCAAATGTAATATAATACATTAATTTGAAGGTCATTTCATTCTCTTTTCGTAGTATTCTTCATTGCTATCTGACAATAACAGAATTATTATGTATTGCGAACGAAAAGTCTGACGAACGAATCGACTCCGAACGATTTCGTACAGCATTGACATTCCCTATATTCTTCGTCATTCATTTGTCAAATAATATGTTGCCATATGTCATTTATATAATAATTAAATTAAAAACACTGTTTTTTTTCTAATTTCTATCTTTTTAAAATTACATTTAAAAAATCTGGCAGTGCTCATTTGCTCCATTCCCTTTTTATATTCTCGTTAGTCGATATTTGCGTTGGTTTGTTTACAATACGGTGCTTGAAAATTTTCCAAAAATAATATATTCAAAATCAAAATGTGTGCAAAAATTGTATATAAGTACATTCATATGTATTTGAGCAGAGTCATATTGAATATAACGAAACGATACCTAAATTGCTTTCGTTTGAATTTGACATGTCTCTTCGTTGTTTTGCATAATATTCGTAACAGAGAACGTACGTTTCAATAACATTTCCCGTAAGAATCAGCTGTTATCATTTGGCTTTGCGTTCGAAATACGTAATACGAATATGCGAACGATTCGTGTCTGAAACGAAACGAACGTTCGCTTCGCAATACATAATAAGAGTGTAAACATATTTTATATGTTAGGTTTTAATCTGTTCTAAATGAGAATTAAAAAATCGAGAATCATATTTTTCCATCCCTACAAATAGTGGACTTCATGGAGTACCGCCATTCTCAAGGCTTGGGTTCAAATCCAAAAGTTATAGAAAATTAATTAAAAAAAAAAATTATTTTAAATTTTCTGATTTAGGTCGCCGGCAGGGGATATCAAGCCCTCTGAATGTATTTCTGACATGAAATAAGGGCTCCTCATAAAAACCCATCAGCCGTGGAGAGGCGGCTTAGTATAAATGGTGGGTCCCTCAATTGGTTGAATTGCTAAAAAAACAATTATCGCTTAAGCGGTTACAAGCCGCCGAATAAATATACGTGTATATATATATAATAAATAAAAGATTCTCAACTTTTTTCTATTGCCTAAGAAGAACGACTTGAAGTCCGAAACCTAAACATATTTATGTACTCTTATATATATCCAAGAATAACTAAAAATAAAAAAACCTCTAAATTGAAGATTTTATAAATGGCAAATCAAATAATTCCGAGCAAACACATTTAGTGAAACAATTTTTGCTTGCTGATATAAAATATATGTAAATTTGTCATTTAAGGTAAAAATCTTTTATAATGAAATTCTTTACCTCTGCAGCAGGTATATCAAATGCGAAACTCTCATTGAAGACAGGACTCAGTGTTCGCTTCTTAACATGCGTCTTCTTCTTTGCAATGCGCTGCCCATTGTACAATAAATAGATCTTCACATACGGATCAGCTAAGCCGGTTACGTCCATGCGCGGTAAATTGCGCGCCTTCAAAAGAACAACAGTCAAACGACCAGCGGCTGGTTGCCAACAAAGCGAAATCAATAATTCCCCACGTCCCTGAGCACGTATTTTCAAGCTGCGTGGCTGTATTTCCTTGCTAATTGAAAGGGCCTCCTTGGAGATGTCACCAATTTCTATAGACGATAATGGGCAGACAACCTCACCAATAACATCGTCACGCGAATAGCGATCAAAGCTGAGTATAACAAAGTGCAAGGACATGTTTTGTAGATCGCTGATATTTAAGCCGTAGAATGTGAAATCTTCATCGTATACTGGATTGCGTGTGTTTCGTACAACACGGGTCTTCACCTTATGCTGTTTATCTGGCAACAGTTGCAGTTTTACGTATGGATCAGTTGCAGTTTGAGTACGTCCATTCAAGCCGGTCGGTATGTCGTTAGAACCATTTGAGCCGTTCTTATTGTTGTTACTGTTGCCGCCACTATCAACTCCATTACCAGATCCGGAGCCGCCATTTCCCCCACTCTTGCATGGCAAGCCCCGGCATCTTATAATCGATACCATTAGGGCATTACGTTCGGCCAAATAGCGAAGTTTAAAGTAAATGGTACCCAATTTTCCATACTGATCGATATTCAACTCCCTAGCTGTATCCTCCATTGCGCTTAAATGCTGATGAAGATAGTGATTTTGGCCATTATTATTACCATTACTGCATTGAGTCTGGCCTACAATGGTTGCCTGCGTCTCAATTGTCGGTGAAAGCTTATGTTCGCCGTTCATCAGTTGACGATTGTTACGTGAAGATTGTACTTCATCTTCTTCAACATATTTCATAGTTTGTGGGGCAATCGGTGAGGTGGTCTGATCTTGCATCGGTTGTAAAATGCCTAGCTGTTTGGTGCCAGTCGGCGAAGGTGATTTCTTGAGATAATGGGGTGGTTGACCACTTGGCGAGCGAACAGCTGTCGGACGTCGGGTTGGTTGAAATGGAAAACTAGCGTCATGCTGATTCTGCTTGCGGTTGCGTTGACGTATTTGCTTGGCACAAACGCACGCAACAGCAGAGAGTACTGCGGCCGCAGTAAAGCCCAAAATCGCTGGAAGAACTGTAACGAAGGCATAATATAAATGTATGTTATATAGATAAACCAGGGTATTAAGAAAAGAAAAAGAAACTAATCTGTTTTTATAGATATATGGTATATACATATATATTTAGAATTCTTAAAACGACTAAATTCTGTAACTAGGAACAGGGCTATACTTTTTCGAAAGTCTATGATGAGCTGAATCTGAATCTGGATTCAAAACAGTTCCAGAAATTTTTCAAACATTAAAAATGGCGGACCCAATATGGTGGAAGATTTTGTAAAAATTGGTTGGATTTGTTGATTACGTTCGGGTTTTATGTCAACAACAGCAAAACTCTCATGAACACTCAAAATTCAAGTACTTACTCTCCTCACTATTTTCAAAGTCTTATTTCGTTCTACTCAATTTCTGAACATAGACGAATTTGGCAAACTCAGTAAATTCAATAGACAAATTCTCAGAAGCAAAAAAATAAAATGTTTAAAAATTCAAAATGGCTTTTGAAGAGTAGAAGTGGTACTTTTATGTAGAATAACGTGCTGTAACTGTTTTGAATCCAGAGTCGGATTCAGCACGTGAAAACCCTTGGAAAAAATGTAATACTGTTTCTGGTTACAAAATCGTGTCGGACTGTGTTATTGGTTCGGAACATAATGTTCCAAATCAATTGATCTAAGAAATAAAAAAAGTGAAATTGGAGCATATTAATGAGCATAATTTCATATTCTTGACTTTCAAAATCTGTAGCTTTTTTTTCTTTTTGGTAAAGGCCAAAGTAAGTCGTTGCATATTTCGTGAAATTCTCGATTTCGTTTTAATATGGCGAAAGCAATCAGATAATTTGCCTATGCTTTGTAAACAATACCATAATTATCCCATGTAAGGAGATATTACCATTGTATCGGCACACACGTGGCTTCAGTATTGTGCTTTAGAAATATCGTTTATTCTTATAAATCAATTTTATCGGCCGCAATAAGCTTATTGAGTGGCAGATCAGGCGAAAATAGTGGTTTTGGAATAGCTCAAGACGAGATTTTAACGAAAAACTCACGAAACCAATGCAGCGTGAACGTTGTTTTTCCAAAAAAAAAAGAGTGTTTTAGGAACCATACGAGGCAGAACACAATTTCATTATGACCACCAATCCTTTGATTTTTGCGACGTGATGCTGATCAACTGATAAATTTGGTTTTTTCATTTTCAGTGGTTTCTCGGCCTTCTTTGAATTATGCGCAGTATATAAGCATTTCGATAGAGTGTTATTACCGATAGCCTTCTATACCATTTTGAGTTTTTCTGTAGCAGAAAATTCATTACACAACCAAAATTTAGTGATAAGATCTCTTTGATTAATAATTTCCGAAATTTTGAAAAAAAGGGATTTTTGTAAATCACAAGACGAGCGTAATTATACCTTTGCCAAATGAATGAACGCAAGAAATAAGAAAAAATTTAACCTAACCCAACAGATATGCATAAATAAAATAAAGTATATATGTATGTCGTATGTACTTACGAAATATACAATCATCGATTGTTCTGCGCATAGCTCTCTACTATTTTAAATATATTTCTATAAATGTGTTTAGCACATTTCTAAAAATTCTTACAAACACTTCATTATCTATGATAAAACAAACATGTATTTTTACACACAAGCCTTTTAGTGGGAACTGGCCGACAACTGAAATGTCTGAGATTCCTAATTGAATGGTTTGGGCCATCATTTTTCGACAAATGGTAAGTTGCGTACAACTCTCCACTCATTATTTAACGGCAATCGCTGGAGGATTTGCTTCAAATACTACTCAAAATTCATTACCTTAATATGGGCTAACAACAACAGGAGTTAGAGAGGAGTCGCAGCACCAAAACATCGTTTCTAATTATCTATATATACATTGGCCTATGCATAAGTAAAATAATAATAGCACCGATTGTGTCTGAATCACGCAGACAAAATTTATGTTTGTATTATCCAAAGTATAATATAATATGAAACTAATAACAAACGGAGCATATACGAGTGCTTTTGTGCCTATAAATATGCAACATTTCAAATTATCTGAGAGCAGTACAAATCACTTACTTGTCTCCATGGTGCTCACATCTGGACTGTATTCGTCGCCCATCTTTGCTGCAGCAAAATATTAATCTCGATTTGTATAATAATTTAGTTGAAGTTTTGGTGTAATTGGCGCTGTTGATCAATCTAGATTTCAATTACTTATTTCATCTAAACCATATACGCTTACTCACAAAGTGACAAAACACTATGGGGTTTTCCTTTGCTGATTCACAGTTTTTTTTTTTGTTTTTTGCTTTGATTATTAGAGTATTTGTATTTATGCCAGTTTCTGTTGAAAAACGCCACAATCGTAATCGATTTTCCAATATGTCTCACAGGAACAAATATTATGCATAAGTAGTCATTAACTTACAGTAGCTGCCGACATACGCATCTGTACATATATTGTTATTGCTGGCAGGATAAATTTTCGCTCCTTCCAAATGATTGTTGATCGGAATGTTCACATTTGTCGTCGTATTCACAACTTCGCTGTTTCCAAACGAATTGTATTCGTACTCCTTTAAGTTACGTCTTAGGTGGTGGTAGTGGTGTTTTTGTTTTTATGGTGGGGGTGGTTTTGTGTCGCAGACCCTTGTGGTTACGCGATGCTTCAGGTCGCACGTAATGTATGAATCACACTTTTTACCCTACACTGCGTCGCCGCTATCTCCTCACTGGTCAATTCAATGAGTATATGAGAGCGCAAGGATGCTAATACTTTTCTAGAATGTTTATTTAATTTCAATATCCAAAATTTACAACATAAAAATCATTCAAATTTCGCATAAAACGTTATTTGTATGTTTTTTATATCAACGTATATTTGCTGTGCCTTGCATTAATGCGCATTTCGCGTAGGTGTTCGAGATACGTATGGAAAGAATTTTTCCATGCAAATTTTTTCACTTTGTTACTTTTACATCGCCAATTGCGAATTCACCAAAATATTTATGCGAAATCTGTAGTTCAAACTTTTTTAAACCATTTTTCTAAAACATAGCATATTTTATGGGTTTTCACCACACAAATAATTCACATTCAAAATTTTCTGCACTGAGCAAATTGAGTTAGCTTAACGCGCGTTAGCGTCGATATTCCGATTGTAGTCGTGTTCGTCTGCTGCGAGTTTACGAGTATTCACTGTTACTACTGGCCGTTGACTTCGTTTTCGATGTGCAGGTATCAACGAGTACGAGTCCATAAAATCATTAAACACGCGCAGCCGCAATTGAACGGCAGTGTAAATTGATAAGCGTACTACTTTAGCTTTTTGATATCAACGAGCAAAACAATTCACATGGAATTGTAAAATCTTGTTTACATGTGAAACAGTAATATACTTTTGGGTAACGAGTGGCGAGTGCGTTTATAGCGAGTATATCTAAGTATTCTTTGTATACAAAAGCTCGCTTAACTATTAACGGTCGAATAGTAAGCAACGGTACAGGTGCCGTCAGGTGTGGCATTTTAATTTTTTTCACGCATTTTGTTGTAAGAATAAAGATTCAACTTTGACGTTTGATGAACGACTTTGACAGTGGCGAAAAAAGATAATAAGTAGAAAATATTAAAGAAATACAAGCTGAGAAGCTTTACAAACTAAGATGTCGTTCGCCGCACGGAAGCCGATGGCTGAAGAGGAGATGCTGGCTATGCTGGTATGCTAAGGAATAGCAATTGTGAAAATTATTACTACATATGTATGTATTTTTTATTGTTTCTGTGTAATATTTTGATTCTCAATGAAGTAAGTTTAATTTAATTTAAATTGGATTTTTCATGTGATGTTTAAAATGTTTATTATAAGTATAGTACTAATTAATACGAAAGTATGTAAATCTACAATTTTTTTTGTTTACATATGTATATATAAATATATATATCTGTTTTCAAATAAATAAATTTGGATTGAATGTTTGGTTTCACTGATTTATTTATATGTATAAATATTTATTTAATATTTGATATATTTCAATGTTGAAGTAATTCATAATAAAAAGACAACTTGATTTCAAATGAATGTATAATTTAATTTCACTTTTAAATATTTCGAGGACAATGTTTTATGAAATGCCTTAGGAATAATAGCTAGAATTGATGGTCGCAAAATACGAAACATGAGTGTTAAGGCATTGTAGCAGTCGCCACATGCGAAGATCTTCAACGCTAGGGAAATTCTCTATTCTACACTGATAGTTGAAGACATACATATATATATATATATATACATATGTATTTCTATATCAAAGGGCGCACTTTTTCACCTAAAATGCATTGTCATATTCCGTTTTTTACTATTATACAACGAATATTTATTAAAATAAGCTTTTTTTTTTTGAATGATCCTCGGACCATTCAGCTATTGCGTCTGTCATATTGTACAATATATTCAATTCAATTGTCATGTCCTGAATTTCACTGTTCAGTCTTCGCTTCCGAACATCAAATCGCAACGATATGGAATGTGCCAGAAATCGCGATCATCATATTCTTTCCGTTTTTAAATCCGCCGGCAGCAGGTAAGCGAATTTAAAAATTTTTAGCGCAAAATTTAAAAGAAATAGATTTTTATCTTTCTAAAACAATACATATAAAATAAACTCTTATTTTTTATATAAACAAAGATACAGAGAGGAAAAATTTATAAATTGTGATTGGTTATTACATATGTAATTTTAAATTTTTTTTGTTGTTATATTCAGTGGTAAAAACTCAACATCTTTAGATTTAATAACTCTCAATTCCTTGCATTCGCTGCATCAATTTCAGCTCAACAGCTGTGGACATTGGCCTAATGAAGCCTTACATTATTAATAATATTTTCAAATACTTTTGATTTAACTTTGGTCATAAAACTACTCGTAAATACGCATTTAAATTCACTAACGCTGCTTTTCATGTTTCTACCAACTATTTCGGTATATTAAATAAACAGAAACAGTTTAAAAACTCATATGCAAAAAATATGTTATTAAAATGTGAGTTGTTTGACTATAACGTGTAAACTTTTAACCAATTCGTTCGATTTGCAACGAAATCGCGCGATTGTGTCATTAAATAAATTTTGGTTCACCCTGTTTCAACTTGTCAACACTTTACTTAAATTGAAGTCAAACAGCTAGTTTAAATTGTGTAAACTGTGACAGCTACGATTAATACGGCGTTGAGTTATTCGTCCGACACTTCCGTTCTGATAAAAGCTTAGCAAAGACAAAAACCGATTTTTAGTCAAGGCAAGCAACCAAAGACTAGCAATTCATATTTTCTGTAAGCAAATTCTTTATTACAGTATTGTTGAACAATTATTGTATTATAAGAATATTAATTATAGATTTTGGCAACAAATCGCTCTTAATACGTTTTTTTTCAATGAATAAAAACTATTTGGTTTTGATGAATTTGAATAATTTACATTATTTCAGTTTGTAAACTTATCTTCTTCTCGTTCTTCCTTGACGTGGAACTCGTTAACGCGGTCATAGCCTGAAAACATAAAAATCAAAATAATGAATTAAATTTATATTAAGGTTATAAACAATTTCCGATATTTCCTTTTGTCATGTATAAGAAGAAATTTTAATGGGTTAAACTTTATTATTATTGCCAAAACTATGCTATGATTATTTAATTAAATAAAAATTTTACCTTTCATGAGCTTGAAATGGCTGTATTTAATTTGTGCCTATGTATGTAAGCACCAGAAGAAGAAAAGCTATACCCACGCAACCCACCAATCGAGTCATAACGACGAGTTCAATTGTTTTGTATTGATAATTTTTTCAGAGCTGTCTAGGTCAGTCCACCATAGAATATAGCCCCGATACAACGATTAGCTTAGATATGACGTTTTGGTCAAAACTCTGTCATAAAAGCATCTAACAGCATGAAATTTCGTATTATACACACGTATAATATCGGTTGGCATGCCATAATGCTTGCCAATTTTTACTAAAGAAGATAAAATGTATTTTTAGTTTATAAAACTTGCTTAAGATTCGAATTTAATTTTTGCTATATATATATGCAACTATATGCCGCTGTATCGGACGGTTTTCTAATATTGAAAAAATCCGTTAAATTAAATGGGAAATCTCTGCCGTGAAAAAATAGAGGAACAATCAAAAACTTGAAGCGAATTTTTTTAACCAAAATAAATGCACAAAGAAAAGTAACAAACTCTGTAACAATTTTAGCAAACGTTCATCATATTTAAGAAACATATGTATGTAACGTTAATTTAACAAATAAATTAGTACCTTTATTTTTAATATTCACTTTGATTGTTGTGAAATATGATTGCTAACACTTTATACTGGTGTACCGGACAAGGAAAATTCACCTACTTTAAGAAAAAATTGGTATTTTTGATTTAAGATTAAAATTGAAAAAATTATCACGACTACGGCGAAAGCACTTTCTTGTGGACGGTCTACTTCACGACACTGCCAACGCCTTAACTTATACTGTTTTTCATTCGAATTTTCGTCAAATGTTGCCCAAATATTGTTGTTATATGTAAATAAAATTAATTGTACAATATACTCTATTTAGTATCTCTTTTAAAAAAATAAGAGAAAATGGTTGTTTTTGCCTTCAAGACCTATGTAACCCCTTTAGTATATTTATTTAGAGAAATTATGGTTACAATAACAAAATGTATCGTAAAATAATTTAAATTGGTATTTAGATGTAAAATTAATTGAATTAAAATAGCTTATGAATAAACGTTATATTAGGAGATTTCTTTCTAATGAGGTAAATTATTGTACAAAAGTTTATTCATAGACGCTACCGTTTTACAACATACCTTTTTGGTTTCTCGCTCAGATGAGAGTTTCTAAAGCCACAAATTATCAACATTCCTTCGTTTATCTTTATAATCAATGTAGTCATTAAGACGTTATAAGAATATTATATTTCATATACTAGGACCAATTAATATTAATAGATTTTCATCACAAAATTACAGACACAAAACAAAACGAATGAGTTTTTTAAGAATTGGCTATGGCAGCAGATTTGCACTTATCTCAAAAACTTCGGCACTTTATTACTATCTACTCCTATTCATACTCTTCCTTTCTACCTTTTTGTACACGATTTCATACTCAGTATTGCATTTTATTTTTGTTGGAGTTTTTGGTCAAAAAAAAAGCCAAAGCTTTGGTATGAATACAACACGGCCTTTGATGTCTATCATGGATTAGCAAATCTCAAATTTCAACATCAATACCGAAAATATGCGATCTACGTGTATGTCACTTAGACCCACACAATCGTCTTGATACCAAAGGCAAATATTCAAATTAATCACAAATTACCTTTTTCCGAACAGATCATAAAAATTTTTGAAAAACTTTTCAGTTTATTCTTCACAATTTATATTTCAATCCCTTCTAATTTTTTACTCACAATAACAAAACATTAACGCTAAAACCAAAAAAGTTCGTGTGTCACAATAAAGTTTTAATTTGTTAGTCAGTGTAATTAAATCACTACCGAACTTATGCATATCGGTGTCATATATAAATTTAGTACCATTTAGCAACATTCTATATTATTATTATAAGTAAATCAGAAAATATTTTTATTAAATTCCTGTCTCTCATACAGTGATTTTAAACTTAATTATTTATTATTGAAATATATTACTCCTCATTTATTATTATACCAATCATGACCCTAAGACGGTATATTAGCTTTGTTCTGAATCATGTAAGTACCAGAGACAATAAAAATTTATACCGATACGATCAGAATTACGAGCGAAGTTGTGCATGTATCTGTCTGTGTATGTCTGTCTGAAAGCAAACTATTCAGGGGTCAAGTCAATATCACTTTGAAATGGTGTTATGAAACCGACATAATTTTACTTTGTTGGAAGCTAAGCAAAACCGATATTCGAATGAGCTGTAAACGCTTGTGAAAAAAACCAAGTGATTCAATTTAGTTTTTTACTGGTTTTACATATTTGTAATTGTTAATTAAAAATAAAATGACTCCGGCAGTGATAGCTTTTTTGATGATACAAAGATTTGGAAAAACCAGCCAAAAAATAGAGCGTAAAATTTTAGGGAATAAGAACAATCCGCTGGTGCTGCCTAAGTCTATGTAAGCGCAATTCGCATTATACTTTTACATTTTCTGTTACAAAATTGGTTCGTATATAAATTCATAGGCCAATAAAGTCTTAACAAAGAAGTCTCGTAATAGATGTCATTGATTACAAGTTAGAAAGGGTGTCTATCCCACCTGTGTTCCAACTTGTAGCGACACTGCGATTTCTGGCAGAAGTCTCCAATTAACAGTGTATATCTCCGTAGCGCGACCTACAGTACAATTGATTTGCCCACGCTGGATAAAGTTAGGAATGAACGACAATGAAAAGCGGAGTGCTCGTGACCATCTTCGAATATCGGTATTCCAGGCATTACTGGTTGTAAAATCTGTTGTTCATGATTTATATTTTTATTAAATTTCCGCTTCCATAGAAGTTAACACACAATTCTGTCAACGAATAACTTACATTTGAACCGATAAATCGGCATCTGTAACAAAGGAAAGAAAACATGCCCAACCCATGGAACCTAAATGTGCTCTGCCCCATCTACAAAAAAGGCAACGCCACAGTCTGCGCCAATTGCCGTGGGATAAGCCTCCTTAATATTGTGTATAAGATTCTTCCGAGCACCGTCAACGATCTTACTGGATCGACACACACCTCCTCTTCGGCGATTTTAAAGCAGCCCCATCAGTAGCCGCTGTGTCTAAATTCGGTATCTCCGCAAACTTATATGGCTATTTGACGTTAAGCAACACCAAAAGTTCTGTCAGGTTCGGGAACGCCTCTCCGCGCCGCTTGATACCAAATAAAGTTTCGGACAAGGTGATTTCTAATCGGGTAACTCCTTTAATTTGTTGCTGGAAAAAATAATACGAGCTGAGGAGCTGAACAGGGAGGGTATAATCTTTTAAAAGCGTATACAGCTGCTGGTATACGCCGCTGATATTGACACCAACCTCTTAACAACCGTGCAGTGAGTTCTGCTTTCTGCGAACTGGATACGGATACGAGGTACATATATGGGTCTGGTAGTGAACGAGGACAAGACGAATATCTCCTGTCATAAAATAAACAGCAGTCGCATTCACGACTCGCCTACGCGTCACTGTTGGCAAATTTGTTTGTATCTTATTTCATTTTATTTTACTTGATATTATTGATTTTATTTTATTTTATTTGGTTTTTTGTTTTACTTTAGTCTATTTTATTTATTTAAATTTCAAATATTTTAATGATTTTTATTTAATTTCACTTTATTTTTTTTTATTAAGTTTTAATTTATTTTTATTTGGTTTTTTATTTAATTATATTTTGTTTTATTTTATTTGTTTTATATTCATTTTTTTTATTTATTTTAGTTTACTTTATTTAATTTAATTTATTTATTTATTTTGTTTTTTATTTTACTTGATATTTTTGATTTTTTTTAATTTTATCTTGTTTTAATTTTTTATTTTATATTAAATTATTTCAGTTAGTTGAAATTAATTTTTTTAATTGAAATTTTTGACTTTATTTAATTTAATTTTATTAGGTTTTATGTTATTTTAGCCTATTTTGTTATTTAATATTTTATTTAATCTAAATTTAAATTATTTTAAATAATAATTTATTTCATCATACATTATTTTATTTTAATTAATTTCATTTTATTTTATTTTATTTTTTATTTTTTTATTTCATTTTATTTTTTGTATTATATTTTACTTACTTCATTTTTATATATTTCATTTTATTGTACTTTATTTTATTTTAGCTTATTTAATTTTAATATTTTATTTATTCTGTATAAACTAGTATAAATTTTATTTTACTTAATGTCATTTTTTATTTTCATTTTATTTTATTTTATTTGTTTTACTTTATTAGGTTTAAGTAAAATGTATTTTTACTTTTATTAAATGTATTTTTATTTTTGTTGTTTGTATGAATTGGCGCAGTGGTAGAACACTCGCCTGTTTAGTCAGGATCCGTTGGTTCGGTCCCTGATATAAGAAGTCTGATGAAGAGATGTGGTGATCTCCGAAACAGCTGTCACTTCTACCATTTTTCTTTGTTGTATAAAAAATATTCAATTCATACAAACAACAAGGCCTCGTAGTTTACTTAATAAAAATTAATATATAGCATGGCCGCAAAAACCAATTATAAATGTATTTTATTTTAGTTAACTTTACTTGATCTATTAGATTTTAATTTATTTTATTTTACAATATTTTTTATTTTTATTTTATTTTATCAGATTTTATTTTTCCTTATTTTATTTTTTTGATTTATTTTTTATTTTTTATTTTATTTTATTTCATTCTATTTGATTTTATTTTATTTTACTTGAATTTTTTGAATTTATTTAATTTTATTATATTTGGTCTTTTATTACTTTAGTATTTCATATTTTATTTTATATTTTTTCTTTATATTAAGTAGTTTTGATTAATTTTGCTTGATTTTTCGATTTCATTTGAATTTGTTTTATTTTATTTTATTTTATTTTATTTTATTTTATTTTATTTTATTTTATTTTATTTTATTTTATTTTATTTTATTTTATTTATTTTATTTTATTTTATTTTAGTCTATTTTGTTATAAAATATTTTGCTTAATTTAAATTTAAATTATTTTAATTAATTTTATTATATATTAATTAATTTTATCATATTTTGTTTAATTTTAATTCAATTCATTTTAAAATAAAGTAAAATTATTTTTTATATTTATTTTACTTTGTTTTATTTTCTATATTTTGTATAATTTTATTTATATCTAATTTCCTCCCTTTTTAATTTAATTTAATTTATTTTATTTTAGCTTATCTTATTTTTAATATTTTGTTTATTCTATCTATATAAAATAGTATAAATTTTATATTATTTAATGTCATTTTTTATTTTCATTTTATTTTAATTTATTTGTTTTGCTTTATCTGACTTTATTTTTTTTATTTTACTGTATTTTGTTTAAGTTAAATGTATTTTAATTTAGTTTATTTTGCTTGATCTGTATTTTATTTCATTTTAGTTTATTTTGTTTTACTTTTTTTATTTTCTTTTATTTTATTTTACTTTATCTGATTTTACTTTTTTTATTTTATTTTATTTTATATTATTGTATCTTCTTTTAGCTTATTTTATTTTATTTTAATTTATTTTATTTTTTTTCTTAAATTATTTTAATATTATTTTATTTTATTTCATTTCATTTTATTTAAGTTTATTTAATACCGATTTAATTTTGTTGGCCAATTCCCCATAAATAAATAATTTATTAAATATTAGCTGCCAAATCAGTATCCAGTGTTGCATGACATCTATAGTAAAATAGTAGCCACAGATATTCGTTGCTTGCCGAAAGACTTGTCAAATTGCTGAAACAAAAAATACTAACGTAATAAGAATTCCAACAACTGCAGTATGAGCGCCAACACTCTCCGTAGCTTCGGCAATGTGCAGCCATGAGCGTTTATAAAAACAGTGAAATTTTCTGCAGAAACGGTTGTTTGATGCCGAACGTGGTTGCGAACGTTTGAACAGCTGACAACGGCGCAACGACGTACTGTGATATATTGTGTGTTGTAACAGTGTATTTTGAATTGTTGTTTTCAAATTAAAAAAAGTGAGTGCTTACCTCTGAAGACTTATATAAGCCGAAATTTAGAATCCCTAAATATTTTGAATTCCTTTCATTAAGTGCGCGCAAAAGAACCATTAATGTATAACTAAGGACACTAAGTGCGGTAATTAAATAATAAACATACATACATACATTGCAAAGTGCTGTTTATTGCAAGTTAGTTTGGAAGGCGGTGAAACGACTATTTAAAAATATAAAGAATAAGTAATCGTAGAAAAGAATAAGTACACACATAAATGTAAACCCATTAGTGCTTTTAACCAACAGTTTGCATAAGAGTGCTCAAGTCAAAAGACTTAAGCAACAAACTTGGTCTTCAATTTCTAGCCACTGTGTTAGCATGAAATCGATATCGACAGCTCAATAAACAAATGCCAAATAGTGAATGACGTACTGAAAGAAGATCATCTAGATACGAAAAACACCAAAGGTAAACAAAAAGTAATCGACAACTTCCTTTTCCTTTGTAAGTAGCAAAAAAAAGAACAACAAAAAAATACAATATTTTTATGTTAAACTCTGTGTACAAGGTGATGAAGCACAAATAATACACAGAGTACACGTAATGCATATACAAATGTTAGCAAAGAGTTGAATGAAGGTTAAAATAAATTATGAAAAACTTAGTTGTGGTAACAAAAACGTAAGACAGAATAGTCAAAAAATAAACGATAACTAAATTTTAATCAAACTGAGCCAATGCATTGTGTAAGATGTCAAACTTAAAATTGATTTCTTTTCCGTGAGTTTTAAGAACAACAACGTTATTTGGTATACCATATTGCTGACAAGGCGAATTTATAGAAGGTGAAGTTGTCACATCATATGATTGCTTGTTCTTCCTTCCATTTCAACAAATTACACCAACAAAATACATTAAACGAATTTCGTTTTTCACTTTTCGAAACTACGATTACACAAACAAATAATATAGGCTTTTTGTTTTTTTATTTTGCTACTACAATAACAATTTTGCAGCTAGTTTGGGTTACGAAAATCTGTTAAAAATATTTTCAAAACTTTTATTATTTTATTTCTTTTTTTTGTGGATAATATTGTTAGGTTTTTAACTTTGTGCTTGTACATGCAATTAAGATTACTTGATAAATTTTCTTGATTTATTAACCTAATTTGTTTAACATAGATTAAATAAAGTTCAATATTTGTGGTCTGTATAAAATTAGTGAGGGCATTTATATATTTAAAATAATTCATTTTAATACACAAATTAGCTAGCCCACTACCCACAATAACTCAAAGAATACACTAAGTATTCTCTCCAACATATTGTGATGTAGTTGTCCCAGATCCAGAATTACTTAGACACCGTAAATCTAGCGAAAAACATAGTCCTTTAAGAAAAGATGACGAGCTGTAGCGTAATTCTCTCGGGCTTATAAAAATAAGTAAATTTTGAGATTTCGGAATATGCAAGTTTAAATAAATGCCAGAAATGAATCTTGTTTAATATAAATTTTTAAAACCATGCTAAATTCATTGAAGTTGCTATTATTCTTAGTAACCAATAAGTACATACGTGTGTGTATATTTACAACTGGCATTAAGTAACTACATACTCGTATGTATGTACAATATGCAAAAATCGTGCAATCAACTAACTAGACCAGAGATGAGGCGAGGCGGGCAAGATTGGAGTAGAGAGTAAAGAGTCACAGGCTGAACTAAAACTAAAAGTTATAAAACTGCCAAACCGCTCGTAAGTATATACATAGACCTATATACACCCACCCTGTAGAGAAAAATACCAGTTTTTAACTAGAATCCAACTTGTTTATACATTTTTACACCAACCAGTTCATCTTCCATCTATTTTCTAAGTAGGCAACTGGTATTTTTAAAACGGCGATGTCCTACGAACTGTCAATTGTCAGCTTATGCATCAGCTTCGTACTAGTTTTATGCCAGTCGAAATACTGGTTTTTTCATACCAGTTGATAGCTAGTTCCTCACAGATATTCCAAACGGTTGAACCGATTTAAATGAATTTTTTTGTGTGTGTTTAAGTAGATTTGAGAATGATGTTGAGAAACTTCTTTCGCGGCAAGTTAAATAGAGACCAACTTATAACACAAAACACACTTATTGTTCACTTTACTGGAGATTCGGTACACAATTTCATTCCAGGAAGTCGCTCAGATATCGATCTATGTACTTGAAGCTCAATTAGGACTATTTATCTTCTTTTTTTTACAATTGAAGAAGATATAAAACACAACATTAATATATGGGTATTGTTGTTGTTGCGAGAAGTCTAATAATGTGTGGGCTTTTAGTTGCTTGTGAATACTATTTTTTTGCAAATCGACGAACTGGTATGAAATTATCTGCAAAATACTAGTTCATACTATACCAGAATTTTTATTTAATGTTAGTTTAAGCAAACTAGTATAATTTTGTTCTGTAAAAACTAATATAATTCTGGCTTACAACAAACTAGTATAATTTCGTCTTTGAAATACTAGTATCTAACTAGAGCTTTTGCAAACTAGTCTACCTTTTCCCTGCAGGGCAGTTATTTACATAAATGTGTATATGTGAACTTGGGTATGCTGTTTGAAATTGCACACAGTTAACTGTACTAAGTAACGTACATGTACATACCCATTGTAAATATGTTTGTATGTATTATATAAAAGGCACTTATTTCGCACTTTATGTTTTATTGTTACTAAATGTGGCACGATTGAACTTAGCGAAGCAATGAAGTTGCATGTTTGAGCGATAAATAAAATGAAAAGAATAGAGCAAAAACAAAAATGTATGGATAGAAATAAATAAAAAAAACATGTCTCTACTGTTTACTTGGGATGAATTGATCATAACATATCTATGCTTGCGTATACTTCAAATGGAAAAGAGCTTGAACTGTTATTATGAAATACTCGTACCGATATAAATATGGAGCAGAGCGTGAAATGTAAGCGCGCGAGCAATAGATCCGTTTTTAATTGTTAATTCAATCAAAAATTGCTGAGTTGGGACGCATGCCATAAGACCTTTCGCCGCAAGATATTACATTGTATATGTCAACCACAGTGCGTACATACATATGTATATAGAAATATACGTTTATGCATTAGGGTAGCTGTACATTTTTAATAAACTCAAGGTTAAGCATTTAATTCATTTGAAAATTGAATTAATATATATGTTTATTTGTACTTAAAATTTATTTATGAACTTAATTTAAAGCCCAAAAATTAAAAGTATACTTCTCTGTATATCATAAAAGTTGCAAAATCTTAATTTTATTATTTCCGAAAATATCGTTTAAAATTTCACCAGCTAAAGTCGCCCTATTAATAACAACGTGTCTGCCACGCAAACACACAGGCAAACGAAAACTGTTTTGTAATTGTTCGATCAAACAATAGTTCAATAATAAAAGATCCATCAATTCAACCTCAATTTTTGCAGATAGAAAAAAAGATGAAAACTTAAAAACCAACAAAAGAAGAATTGCAACAATAATAACAAAAAAAAATAAAAAGAAAAATTCGGCAAAAGTCGACGCAAATTGCATTCGTAACACCGTTACGTACTTCAATGCTCGATGCCATCAACACTTTGCGTTGAGTTGACGAAATAATTGCCTTTGAAATTTCGGAACAAAAGAATATTGATGGCGTACCATTTTTTTCTTCACTTCACCGTAAAAGTTTCAGGCGTAAAGTTATGCATTTCTTTCGGTAAATTGTCGTTTGGCTAACATCTTGAGCTACATGTGAATGTACGTATATATATATGTTACAGAAATTTGTTATTTTATTTTATTATTAAAGCCCCGCTAATATATATGTATGCACGTATAAATAATATTGGTACCATGCTATATTTTGCTAGACCAAAACAAGTATTGATAAAAAAGAAATCATAGGACTGAGCATTTCTTAGAAATATGCAGTTTGCCCCGTTTATTATCGTAACAGTCTCATTGTATTTAAAACTTTTAAAAGCTGACATCTCTAAATAAAAGAATTCTCACTATTAGCCTTAATAATTCTATTTAATTTAGCACCATCTGCATAATATTTGTTTTTATTTTATTAAAACCTTCAAACAGATGGTGGATTGCTATTCAATCATTTTTCCACCCTTCAACTCTGTAAATCTCTTTGTATCGTTAACCATGTATAGTAAATTAATCGTGTAATGTGAAATACATCTTATAAATTCTATCAAGTTAAAATGTTTAAACAGATGGCAACACTGCTAAACAATTTACACTAAGCCTTTCTTTAACACGTTCAACACGCCTGGCGCCGAATTTGCTGCCCTTTCCGTTCGGCCGGTAGTCGATGAACGATGAAATATTTTATTCTATCGCCAAGAGATTATTTTAGTATTAATGATATAAGGAATTCTTCTTTGTCGCGCTATTTTGGACGTAAAACCAAGTACGTACGAGTACCTTCGAGAGATGATCAGTTACAAAAGACCTACCGAAGTGAAGAGATTGTTCGTGAAAAGAAAAATATTTATATATTTTAGTTTTGAAAATATTTACTGCTAATAACACTGGATGCGTCGGAAAAGAGAAAGATTTTTATCTTCTGTTTCAATAAATTTCGTTAAACACATATTTGATCACATTTCATTAAGATTAATTTTATTTTAAAACATAATTTCTAGTGTCGATCCCCAGGAGCCCACTTAGAAGCGCGCACAAAAATTGTCAAAAAGTATTTTACATATAAATAATTTCAAGCCATGTGCTGAATTATGAATTTAACTATTCTCGAGTTCTTTAATTTTATTAAACTGACTCAGAGTGATCAAATTACAACAACTGTTTGCACGGTAGAAATTATAGCTGCTATTTTTTAAACCAGCAGCTGTAGTTTTTCTTTCAAATTTTACTATTCAAATATTTTAGGGCAACGTCTTTTTATTGTTAAAAAAATTTCATACGAAAGACAACTTTTCCCTAATTCCTAAATTTTTTTGAAAATCGATAAAGATGTTTAGGAAGGGCTTAGTCACACACGTTCACGCTCCTTCATGATAATCCAAATACGCAGGTTTCGCCATCGTCGTCGATATGTCGATATCGTATGGTAGGGATTAACAAACATTCGGTCAGTTAGTATTTTCCATTTTTTTTTGACAAATCTAAAAATACCAAATCATTTGAAATTACTTTATTAGTCTTTCTTTCAAATGTCAGACGAGATTTCACCACCAACGCAAACAGAAATTCGACATGTGACTCTCTTCAGGTTTCGGCGGAATTTACAGTCAATACAAATATTCAGTGAATGCCAAATGGCGTATGGAACGATTGCACGGTTTTTGATACTATTCCTAAGTAGTTCCTAAGATTCCAGACCAGAAATATTTCCGTAGTGGATGAGCACCGAGAAGGTCGACCAAATTCTTCCACTGATGACGTCACTGTCTGGTGAAGTC